AGGTACTGTTGCCAGAGTCGCGGTGCCTGCTTAATTCCGTACAGTGATTTAAGTAGTTGGCAGACGAGGGAAGGGTCGTCGACGAACCCGTGAGGTTGTTCAACGAAGATTTCGGCGTCGACTGGGGCGTACAGAAAAGCGTTGGCGATGTCGATTTGTCGGAGTGGGCGGCGACGTGAGGCGGCGATGGCGAGGAGAATGCGCAGGGAGGTATGTCAACTGACTGGTGCAAAAGTTTCAGTGAAGTCGCGACCATACTCTTGGTCGAATCCGCGGACGACCCATCGAGCTTTAAATCGTTCGATGGTTCCGTTGGAGTTGGTTTTGATCCGCAATACCCATTTCCCGGAGAGAATGGGTCTATCTTGTGCGAGTGATGCAGGGACGATCTTCCAGGTGTTGCGGTTTGACAGCGCTTTTAACTCCTTTTCCATGGCTTCGCGCCATTTTTCTTTGTGTTCCCCCCCCAGAGCCTGCTTGACAGAGCAAGGCTCTTCAGGTGGCGTCGAAGGCCCGTGCACTGCAGCGACGAGTCCCAGGACTTGGAGTCCGCTGGGGGTGTGACGGTTCAGCATGGGATCCTCGGGATAGACTGCTTCGTCTCCCGCTTCAGGATCAGGTGCGAATCCGGGGCCATATCGTTCTAAGATGTCGGTGTTGACGGGTTGGGGTGTTACGTAACCAGTGTCGGCGAAATGGTAGTAGACGTCGGCATTGTTGCTGTCGCGAGGATTTTCCTCGTCCATGGGGATTGGGACGGAGCAGTAGGGAAGGGGTCCAGCAGCTTCGGAGGCGCCGTCGACGTTTTCTTCTTCCCAGTCAGCAGCATCGGAGGGTGAAGCGAAGGCTCGGGAGCCAGAAAATCCGCCGGTGGGGTCGACGTGGCGTGCGATGTTGTCCAGGTAATGGTTGAGGGTGAGTCGCTCGTAGAAGATAACGTCACGTGCTGCTACTGTTTCCTTTGTGTGGACGTCGAAGATTCGCCAGGCTTCGTAATGTTTTGCCAGCCCGAGGTGTAGACCCCACTGTGCACGCTGCGAAAATCTCCCTGCTTGTGCAGTGTGTGGGCGGTACTGTACCATACACCCAAAAACTCTTAACATTTTTGTGTTGCCCAGCTTCCCAGTCCACAACAGGTGCGGAGATGCGTTGTTGGGCAGTGAAGACGAGGACAGCAAGTTGTGCAGGAGGACAGCGTGGTCCATCGCTGCTGGCCATTCTAAGTTGGGCAGTCGAGTTCCACGTAGCAGCTTTCACATGGTTGTCTGCAGGGTCCTGTTCATCCTTTCTGCCACACCCTGCTGTTGGTGAGCGTAAGGTAGAGAGATGAGGCGTTTGATGCCTCTTTCTGCCAATAACTGCGTGAAGTGGTTTGACTGGTACTCCTTTGCGCCATCTGACTGAAAACTCTTCAGTTTCGCTCCCGACTCTCTTTCAGCGACAGGTAGCCACGCTGTGAAGGCTTCTAGAGCCATGTCTCGTGACGGTAAGTTGACGTGCCAGACATATTGCGTTGTGGCGTCGATGAAGGTGATGATGTAGTTCAGATCTGCACGACCTTCGGTTCGAGGTATGTAGAGGATGTCGCTGTAAACTTTTTCGAGTGGTTGATAAACGGGGGCGCTCGGATTGTGATGTGACGGGAACGGTTGGTGAGGCAGATCTGCTTCCGGGCAGATGAAGCAGGTGCCGCGTGGTCGTTCGAGTTCACGTCCGTTGGGAAGAAGCAGAGCGTTTTTGTCTAACAATCCGGCTCGTATTGTGTTGTAAAGTGTTTTATTTCCAGGATGTCCAAGACGTTGATGCCAGATGTCTTCGGAGGCACTGCGACCGACGGAGCGTTGATAGAAGTCTGCGTTGGCGAAGAAGGCGGCGTGTGTTGCTGCACTTCGATGAACGGCGCGTGGTGCTGGCGTTAACTGTTGGGCGGCTGTCGGTGGCGTGACGGAGGGACCGGGCTGTGGAGTTTCGGAAGGTTGTTCCGCGACGACGGTTGGTTCTTCAACTACAGGTTCGGTGGTTGTTGGTGCTGTGTCGGGTGCAGGTGTTGTTTCGATGACGGGTGCTGAGTCAGGTGTTGTTGCTTGTGTTTGCAGGACGGCAAGCGCGTTTGTGCGTTCAGCTTCGGGAATGGTACGAGAGTACCAAAAGCCTTCAGGACTGAAGTTCGGGTCGAGTCTGGCGGATGCGTCCAGGGTGCTAAATTGACTATGCCCTCGCTGTCGGCGGTGCCTTTGTCGGGGACGAAATCGAGAACGAAGACGTCATCTTGTTGGATTGCGCGACCGATGAAGACTCCCCCTTTTCCGTGGTAAAGACGGATTTCCCGGGCGTCGCAGTCACACTCCAGATGAATGCCTTTCGACATGAGTTGGCTGACGCTCAGTAAGTTGAAACCAAGGTTGTCGACGACGAGTACTTTGTTTAACTGAAGAATGACATTTGTATCGTTCGACTGAAGCTCCACTATTCCTTGCTTGTCGGTGCGCAGGTTTTCGTTGTTGGCGACGGTAATTATAACATCTCGCGGAAGTCGTCGTTCGCGTTGAAGAAATCGCGATGAAGAACACATGTGGTGACCACAGCAGCTGTCGAGGAACCATGTGTCGGGTCCAGTGGGTGTACTATTTGCGACGGCGGCATATGTCGGATTCACATTGAAGGATGACGGTGGTGGTGACGGTTGCTCGCCGGGACTGTAAGTTGGTGGTGAGCCGGTAATACACGAGTCAATGTTTGACTCTGTTGTTCGTGCCATGGCGACGATTCTTGATGTCTGTGCAGGTCCCGAAGTGGAAGTTGATGGTCGCGTTGAAGTAGTCGTTGAGGCGGTCGCGGGTCGTTGTTGAGTTGATGCGATGTGAGGAGGCGCGGGTCGCAGAGGACGAGAGAATGGTGCTGGTTGTCGATGTTGCTGAGGGCAGTTGAAGCGTGTATGTCCTGAAGTCCGACACAGATGACAGTAAGGAGGTACGTGTCCTCGATTCTGGTAACGTGGCTATCGTCGATTGGTGTAAAGAACGACTGGTTGATGATGCCTTTTGTTGTTGCGCTCTTCGAACAGGTCCATTTCCTGCTGCTCGGCGTGAAGTTCGGCGCAGAGATGCATCTCGGAGAGTCGACCGTGAGCGCGAAGAAGTGAACGGGTGGTACGCCATTGAGGTCCAAGGCCGGCAAGAACGACGGTTACGAAAGCTTCTTCAGATAAGTTTCCTCCGCAGCGAATGAGTCTGTCGCGTAGTCCTTGACAACGACTAATGTAAGGCATGGCCTTTTCTCCAGGTTGCATTTGAACTGTTGTCAGTTGTGCCATGAGTCGGCTTTGTGTAACGCTGTCGGATGCTTGATGAATGCTTCGCAGATGTTGATAAGCGAGTTCCGCGGAGTTTGCGTAGTTCCAGTAGGCGCGGATGCTTTGTTGTTCGTTCGGCGACAAGTTTCGAAGAAGAACGGTGTAAGCCATCAGGGAGTGATACGTATAATTCTCTTTGTCTTTGTCTTCGCCGTTGTGTGGGTATGGTCAGGTACCGTTGAAGAATCCAAAGAGATTCGCGCCTTCCATTAGGAGCTCAAACTCGAAGCTCCAAGAGTAGAAGTCCTTCCCGTTGAATGGTGTGGATGTATGCAGTCGCAGGATGTTGTTGAACTGTGCTTGTACTTGCAGGACTTCTTCGGTGTCTCGTTTGATGGCGGGAAGAGGAGTCGCTGGATGGCGAGGCGGCATGAACGTGAAGGAACCAGGCGAGACTGAATTTGGTGTTTGTTGATTATGTCGTCCGAACGATGAGTTGTCAATACTCATTGGAGCCGCTCCGTTGTTAACGCTGTTGCTGTTTGCAGGTTGTGAGGACTGCTGCTGCGACATGAAGTTGAAGAACTCCTCCATTAAGCTTGGGTTGAAGATTGTTGGCGGCGCTACTGGTGCTTGAGTAGAACGTTCCGTCGCTTCCGGCGGGCGTTGTTCCTCCTTCAGTCTGCAACTCGGAGACCGGGGGTAGAGTAGATCCCGTAGATGATCTTCTTTCTTTGCCACTTGCCATGTCTTGCTTTTCTTGAATGAAGATTGAGCTTCTTGGTTGCTTGCAGATCAGTAGCCTGGAAGAGGCTTAGTGACGAGAGCCTTTGTTCTCTGACTGCTCTCATACCATGTTGGGCTGAGAATTTCAGCCTTAGGATCTTTGCAGAGAATAGGCTAATAGGTGCTAGAGTAGCACAGCGAAAGTCTTGAGTGAATGTACTTGTGCTGGTATGTGAGAACAAGTAATTGATTTAAGCAAAGAGCATACAGGAATATATAGAAAGATAGATTACAGGAAGCGGTCATGTTTATCGAGACGCGTAACGCTTCGACTATCGAGGCGGTTACTGTTCACTGAAGCGTCGCCTGCTGTTGCATAACCTCCAGGCGGTTACAGCTCGCAACCTCCAGTTGCGGTTTGATGTGGTACGTGCCTTTTCGACTTCATACCCCTTTTGTTGTGTTTCGGTATTGGGTGAGGTTGGATACTACAGAAACGCACTAAGTCATGCGTTTATATTCCCAACAAGCTGTACATTGTGTACACGTCATTAAACAAGCCATGCAATGCTACCTACGCTTTAAGAGATTATGTCACTGCAATGAATGGATGGCGTATGAGGGCTCCAGCCAGCCACCTGGTGACTTTGATCTACCGTATGATGATGCAAGGAATCGAATGTCCCTGGGGACTTCAGCAGATGGGGCTTCCCGAATCCTTATTTTCTGGTAGAAGCAGGAATGGTGGTGCCGTAGCAAGCTGTACATTGTGTGACTCTGACGGTCAGAAAATGGTGGTGCTGGTCTGTCTGACCTATGACACTGCAAGGAGTGCACGGCTCACGAGGGCTGCTGACGGCCTCTTTCAAGGGTATTGAGTCTTGACTTGAACCGAATTCTTGTGTTCTGGTTGAAACAGGAGTGATGGTGCCGTGCCGTAGTGAGCCTGAGCTGTGGATAGTGTGCGACTCTGATCACTGATCTATGATACTGCTAAGAAAGGATGGCTTATGAGGGCTCCAGCTGATGGCCTCTTTGACGGGTCGCGGTTCAAGCAGGATGCGACAAAGTCTGTGAACTCAGGTGAAGAATCAGGTGGTAGCTCAGGTAGGTCTCGACTGTGAGCAATGAAGAGCTTCACCTGACATAACAGATAAGGAGAAGTAGGGTGAAAAGCAAAGATTGGAAAAATAAAATAAAAAATATGGGGATGGGAGAATAAGGCAAGCCTAATGGTAGTTATATCCTATTCCCAGCCCTCAATATCACACCTTCACCTTTATTCCAAGCTCTCTTAACAGTATCCTGCTACAGGGTTCAAAGAGGGCTTTCAGAGAGGTTCAGAGTGGTTCAAGCTCACCTGCTCGCTGTTTGTGATGCCAGCCCACGGCTCTGCTCCTGTCGCCATGGCAACAGCCAGACACCCCAAGGCCCACACGTCAGATGGAGGCCCCACTTCTTCCTGTGCAGAAAAGGACGCCAAAATGGAACAAAAGAGTAGCAGATTTGAGTGTTGAGAGGTCTCGAAGCAGTAGGACGAGCACCAAACAGCCAAGTTGTTGCTGGAAAGTTACTTTCCGTCTTGAAAAGGACTTCAGAAAAAAACAAAAAGGAGTATTGCAGAATTGCGCTTTGTGAGGTTTCAAAGCAGTAGGGCGCCGCCAGACCACAGAGACATTACTGGCCAGTTTTTCCTCTAGAGGCACTCTTTTTTTTTTATTTTTAGGTCGTTAAAAAAATTCCTTCGGAAGTCGTTTTTGAGAAATTCAAAGAGGTCTCGAAGCAGCACGACAAACAGTTTCTCTCTTGAAGCACATCAGATGCCGGCCCTTCTCTCTTCTCACCTCTCTGATGGCTTCAGGAGACAGGCGGGACACTCGGCTGTCCCTACAACCATGGCTGCTGCTGCTGCTACTGCTTTTCGAGGTCCCAGACCCATCGGACTCCAGCCAAGCAATGCCGGCCAGTCGCACAACCCCATCGTCCGGGACAAAGACCGTGGATGGGCGGATGTTTCCATGGGTGATGCCGTGGGAATGCAGCGAGTGAAGGGCCTCTAGCACCTGTTGAGGGTTGGGTGGGGACAGTAAAGAGAGAGACAGTAAACCCTAAACCCTAGACGGAGAAGGAAGGTATGAGGGGCAGATGTTGCCTCAGATGAGTGAGGCAGAAGAAGGCGCGGGTATCCAAGTATGCTCGGGCGATGGGCCCGCACTTCAGCGACGGCACTACACCACCATTACCACAGCACTCCACACTGCACCGCACTCCAGCTCATTGCACCGCACTGAACTCACTGCTTCTCACCTGTCGGAGGCAGAAAGCAAGTGTGTCCTCCGGCATGGGGCCACACTCCTGCAGCTGCTGGGAGAGCGGCGGCGACGGCACAAACTCAAAGGCCGCAAACACCACCACTGACTCGCCCGCCCGCCCAGACTCCTCGTTAGGGGAAGCACCAGCAGCAGCACCAGCAGCAGCACCAGCAGCAGCACCAGCAGCAGCACCAGTAGCAGCAGCAGCGGCAGGGTTGGCGCGGATGGCTCCGATACAAGGCACCACGTTCTCATGGCTGTGCTTCAGCAGCAGAGCCACCTTCCTCTGAAGCTCGCGCACCCTCCCGCCCTCCACACTCGCTCGTGTCTTTGCCTCACCCCCATTCACATTCCCATTCCCACTCCCACTCCCCACACAACCATTCTTCTTCCCCGCTTGCACCCCAACCTCCTCCCGAACCTCTTCCCGAACCTCCAGCCGCTGCACGACGAACCTCTGCCCTGAGCCTCGGTCCTCAATCAGGCTCAGCCTTGTGCCGAGCCTCGACACGAGCCTCCACTTCTCAGGCAGGTTCGGGATAACACCCGCTTCAGGCATCTCCCCCTCTCCCTCCTCCACTTCCTCCTTCTGTCCTGCTGTTCCCTCCTCTCCCTCCTTTCCCTCATTTCCCTCATCTCCCTCATCTCTCTCCTCTTCCCTACCTCCCTCCTCTCCCTCGTCTCTTCGTAAACACCGAAGTCGCATCGTTGCCTCTAACTTGGAAGCTTCCTTCCCTCCTGATGTGCCCACTGCCAGCCTTTGTCTCGGCTCATAGGGAACCATGGCTCCTGCCTGTGCCGCCACCGCTGCCGCTGCCGCCGCCGTCGCTTCTGCTGCTGCTACGTCTGCTGCTGCTGCTGCCCCTGCTCCTCCTCCTGCTGCTTCTCGTGTTGCCCCTGCCCCTGCCCCTGCCTCTGCCTTTGTTCGCGCTGCTGCTGCTGCTGTAGTTGCTGCTTCTCGTCCTCTGAGGTTCCCACCCTCCACCGCTATTCGCCGACGAGTCACATCCTCTGAAGGAATTCTTGTATGCAGCTCGGGCTTCCGAGGCTCAGGCTTTCTAGGCTTGGGCCTTCGAGGCTCGGGGATGCTAAAGTTGGGGTTCCGAGGTCCACCGCAGCTAGGCTCGGCATTGCTAGGGTTGGCATTGCTAGGTTTGGCAGATGAGCCGGGAGACCAAGGTTCGGAAGAATGGAAGCTCGGATGGCTGAGGCTCGGCGGGAGTGTGGATTCAAAGTGAGCAAAGGAATGGAACATGGCCAGGTCTTCAGGAGAAAGATCAGGTGTGCTTTCCCGTAGGTCAGGTGCGTTTCTGCGCAGGTCAGGTATGTTTCTGTGCAGATCAGGTGTGTTTTCAGGTGGTACAGGTGGGCGAGCTGGTGGGAGGGGATTCACTGCAGAGGGGCACGGAGGGGAGAGGCAAAAAGAGAGGGAAAAAGAGAGGAGAGTTGAGAGGGCTAACTGGACAAGCTTCGGTCGAGGTGAGTGGGAAGGGGTTCAGAGCGGTGTGTGGTGCTGGTGCTCATGGCGCTGGTGGTGGTGGCAGTGCCAATGGCGATGGGAACGGAACACAAAAACGAGTATTACCATGTGGGGAGGGCAATAACGATCATTGCCAGGTAAAAGAGGGCAAATACCGAAAGTTACCATGTACAGGAGGTCGCGTCTTGGGTGGATTGTTGAGATCCATACTAGCAGCACGCCCATGGCCCCCCTGCCCTAATTCTCCCCCATGCCTTGACTCTCCCCCATGCCTTGACTCTCCCCCATGCCTTGACTCTCCCCCATGCCTTGACTCTCCCCCACGCCCTGAGTGTCCCCTATCCCCTCCTGACTGCCACGTGTCTCCATCCCCATCTGTACTAATGCGACGCTGCACAGCAAATTGCCTCTCAAGTCCTCCTTCACTCCCTCCCTCACTTCCTTCTTGCCTGCCCCTCTTCCTCCGCCCTCCCAGTTCCCGCCTCACAGCCTTGGCAGCAGCTCTGGCAGCAGCTTCGGCAGCGGCTTGAGCAGCAGCTTCGATGTCAAAGCTCTCAGTTACGCTCCGTGACTCCGAACCTCCCCCCAGACTCGGATTCCGTCCGAGCCTGCCGCCGGACCTGGAGTCGCTGGTCTGGTGCCGAGCCTGCTGCTGCTGTTGCTGGTGTTGCCATTCTTGCTCCTTAATGCCACCCTCCCTCCTCCCCATCATGCTTGCATAAACCGCCTCTGAAGCAGCCGCTGCCGCCGCCGCTGCTGCTGCAGCTGCCACGGTTTGAATCTCTTGCAAAGACCCATGCTTCTGTTGCTGCTCCAGCTGCTGCTGCTGCGGCTCGTTCTCCTCTGTTTCATGGAGGTGTGAGAGGGGCGCGTGCGAGAGAGGAGCGTGCGACAGAGGAGCGTGCGAGAGAGGGCGATAAGGAACAGTGGAGAGGGCGAGAGAATCTTGGCCTGGCACCAACAAAGCAATCGCTTTTCCTCCTTCAACCCCTCCTGCCCCTCCTGCCCCTCCTGCCCCTCCTGCTCCTCCTGCTCCTCCCGCTGCTCCCACACCAAAGGGGCTGACAGCTCGAACTTGAGCCCCCCGAGCCAAGGCCTCCCGAACCTGCGCCTCAGCCTGGGCCCGAGCCTGCGCTTGCAATTGCGCCTGAGCCTGAGCCTGTGCTAGGAATGCTGCTTGTGAAGCCATAAATGCCTGAGCCTGGACCTGCATCCGAGCCTGCGCCACAGCTTCGGCCCGAGCCTGCGCCTCCATCCGTGCCCGAGCCTCCAGTTGCGCCCGAGCCTGCGCTTCAAACTGCGTCCGAGCCTGTGCTTGCACCTGCGCCATTTGTTGCAACACACTCGTCTCACGCAAAAGCCGCCACACCTCCTGCTCCTTCCTCTGCAAATCCTCCCTCCTTTCCCTCCTCTCCTCTCTCTCCTCATCCTCCCTCTCCCTCTCCTCCTCTTCATCCTCATCCGTTTCCCCTCCCCGCCTCCTCACCTCCCCACATCCTTCCGAACCTGAGCCATCCGAACCTGAGCCGTCTGAGCTCAGGCGCTTCCGAGCCTGGTCATACCCTCTCCTCACACCTCTCCTGTCCTCTTTCGGTTCCCTGTCCCTATCCGTCTCCTCATCTTCCTCCTCCTCTGCCCCTCCGCCCCTATTCCCCACTACCTCCCTTTCTTCATCCTCTCTAAGTGTTTCTAGATTGCTTCGGCCTAACAGCCTCTGCTGCTGCTGGTGGCGTTTTGGAGCGTTCCTCTCTCCTCTTCCTGCTCCCCCCCACGCCCCACCAGCCGCACTAACAGCAGCACTGGCAGCAGCAGCAGCAGCACCACCACCACCAACAGCAGCAGCAGCAGCAGCAGCAGCAGCAGCAGCAGCAGAAACAGGTTTACCATTTCCCACTGTCCCTGGAGCAGATACAGGCACAGGATTGGGCGCAGCCCCTGGCACAGCCCCTGGCAGAGCCCCAGGCAGAGGTATTGAGTTACTCTGCTGAGACTCAGCGCACATGCCCATGAATGCTCGCATGCGCACTGCTGCCGCTGCTGCTGCATGGGGACTTGTGCCGTGTGGAAGAAAGAGAGGGATTGATAGTGCCCCTGCCCCTCCTGCTGCTGCTACAGCTGCTGGGGAGAGCAGCGGTGACGACGGTGGTGCTGCTGCTGCTCCTGCAGGGGGTGTAAAGGCTCCCATTGCCACCGCTGCTGCTGCTGCTGCTGCTCCCCGGGGGGGAGTAAGAACTCTCATTGCTGCTGCTAGTGCTGCTGAAGGGGGGGTAAGACTTCTCATTGCCGCTGCTACTGCAAGCGGAGTCGTCTCTCTCATCGTTGCCGCGGCTGCATCTTGCTGCCTACTCCCCCCTCCACTTCCCTTCTCCACCTCCTCCCCTTCCTCCTCACTCTCCTCCTCACTCTCCCACTCCTCCCCTCCCTCCTCTCCCTCCCCCCCCTCCTCCTCCCCCACTTCCTCCTCGCCCCGTGTCACACACTCCCTCTCCCCCACTCTCTCCCCTCGCCGCCCATCCGCTCCCCCACGCGCTTGACAATTCAAAGAAGGGCGAGAATCGTCAAGCGAAGTCTCAAAAACCGGCGTATCGGACATATTAGCAGTATGATTCAGGGAGAAGCATCTTTTTTCAGACTCGGACTTTTGAACGGCCGCCGCATGACTGTCGGAAAGATGTTTGCTATGGGGATGGGGGGCCGGGGGAGGAGGCGGAAGGGGGGACGATGAGCGGGCCTCGGGGGGAAGCATAAGCGGAGATTGGGTGGCGGGAACAGCGCTGGAATAATTGAGAGGAAGAGGAGGAGGATAAGAAGGGCGCTCGTCCCTCCATGCCCCCCTCGTCTCCCCTCTCTCACGCTCCTCCTCCTGCCCCCATCTTTCCCTTCCCCGCTCTCCTCGCTTCCCCCCCCATGCCTCTTCCCCCCATGACTCTCTCCCCCATTGCCCCACACCGGGGCCCTGGAACCCCCTTTCCCCCTGCGCCTCCCGCCGTCCTTCCCCCCCCTGCTCCCCCTGCCCGTGCCTTCCACCTCCCTCCTGCTCTTCCGCCCCTCTCCTCTCTCTCATTACATCCTCGCGGAAATTTCCCCCATGCGTCCAACCTTCCGCTCTCCGTTCCCCCCCTCCCCCTGGTCTCTTCCCCCGAATCCGCGCCTCGATTTGCTGCCCAAGCCGTTTCTGCAGGCTCTCTGTGGGAACAATAACCCTTTTTGCCCCAGCTGCCCGTTCCAAATGTTTCGACACTGCCCGCCCATCCCTCCCACCCATCTCAACCGCACAATTTCTTCCTTCAATGCCGTCACGGGCAGCCCACTCCCGACGGAAAATCTGGTCACGCTCTTCCACCCTTGCGCGTTTTTCCGGGGTAAATTGCCCCAGATTTTCCAGGGCTTCCCAGGGTTGTGCCCGCTTTGCACCGGGGTAATTAGCTTGTGGAGCCACTTCTGCGAAGGCGTGCGCTGACTGAAGAACGTTTCTCGCTGGCAGCCGCGGTAACAACGGTAACTGCGGCTGCAGCTGTTGTGGCTGATGCTCCTGCTGCTGTTGCTGCCCCAATCCGCGTCGCCACTCCAACATTCTGACGCCTCCGTCTCCGCTTCCGTCTCCGTCTCCGCTTCCGTCTCCGTCTCCGCCTCCGCCTCCGTCTCCTGCGTCTCCGTCCCCCGAACCTTGCACCGCTTGTTCTCCGGCGTCTGGTCGCACGAGCGAACGATCGTCGCCACGTCGTCTCACGGCATGTCGCACGCTGGCGATCCTCCCTTCTCCTGCCGGAACCGTCCCGGCGGCTGCGACTTCCGCGAAGTCGGCGGCGGCATCGGCCGAACGGTCGTTTTCGCCACTAAAGCCGCGGCCAGTTTCGCCAGTGCGCCAGTCGCGGTCACTGCGGGTGTCACTTCCGCCGCTGCGCCAATCACTGTTGCGGTTACTGAAGCTGTCGCTTCTGCCACTGCGGGAAGAAAGCGCCGGCGGCCCCATTTCCTCCCGCGGATTCCGCGCAGGAGGCGAGGGGGATCCGCGCGCCGGCGGCTGAGGCGGCTTTTGAGTCGACTCAAAAGCTGGAGGTGAGGGGGATCCGCGCGGCGGCTGAGGCGGCGGCAGGGCTTTCCGCGACGCGGCGTTGTCTCGAAATATAGCTGTTTCCGCACCGAGAATTTCGCGGGGCGGCGGCGTTGGCCGCGGGCTTTTTGAAAAAGCGTCCGCGTAAGGGGAGCTCCGCCCCAGGGGGGGTAGCGGGGGCGCGGGGCTGGGGAATGCGAGGTCTGGAATATGCTGGTGCTGCTGTAACGCTAAATTCGCAAAATTCGCGAAATTTGCGCACGCAACAGGACTCGCCCCGAAAGCGGCGGCGAAAGGGGACGAAGGCGGTGCGAGTGGAGTGAAGGGGGACGGAGGAGTGGCTATACCGAAGGGGAGTAAAGGCGGTGTGATTGTAGCGCCCGGCGCAAGAAATGGCGACGTGGACAATGCACGGAGAGAGGCTAGTATGGCTTCTCTATCCATCTCCGGCGCGAAAATTGACCTACAAAAAAAACTAATAATTGAGGGTTCTAAGAACTCTGAAGAAATGGGAAAGGGCAGCGCGAGAGCAAAAGAATTCTATTGGTTGAGCCCAGCTCTATCATGTCTGCTAGGAGTGGAGAAGCTATTGCTCAACCTATCGTTTCTTCCAGAGCTGAACGTAGTATGTTGGGTGATTTCCTTGCCTTGCGGCGACCTGGGTTCCAGAATTCTGCAGGTCTGTTATGGTCTCTCCCAGTGCCTTCGCGGGGTTTGGGTGAAGTGGTTGGGTGAGGGTGGTTTGCTTGGTGCTTCCCTGCAATCACCATCGTCGATGCGCCTTGTTTGTGATGTTCTGTAGCTCGGAAGATGCCTTGTGCTTGTTCCGATAATCGACGGCTCGTACGCGTCCAATCTCCGTGTCCGAGCATACTGCTGGAGTCCGAAGTATGGGCGGGCAAGACGAGCAAATGCAGGCACACTGGTGGACGAGTCACGAGCGTTCCCTGAAATCCGATGGAACAGAGGCACGCGAGGTTGCGCTGGCGACTTGATGAGGATCAGCCGGTTGGCGATGTTGTCAGAACGTGCGGATGAAGCAGCATTTGCGTTTATTGCGACGCACAGGTGATGGTGACGCACACATGGCGACGGATGGCATGGCATGGCTGTGCATGGTGGTGCTGAAGCTTGAACTCGCCTGCTCAAGCAATGGCCTCGGATGAGTCAATACAAATTTGTCAATTGACCGTTCTTTCCATCATATCGCACAAAAGCCGCATGGTACCCTGCGGGTGCCGCAGGTGAATGGGGTGTAGTTGTGCCGGACCGGATGTATCGAAAGGGGCAAGACGATCAAGATAAGGGCCATAAATATTGGCTGATTGTAAACATTCTGTACTGTATTTCACACGATTCGCTTTTTGGTACATTAGAGCGGGTGGGCACCATTCCCGAAAGCGGGGGGATACGAGAAAGGAAAGCAACCCTTACCAATACAACTCTCACATGCGTTCCGCACATGGGACCTCGCACATCGACATTTCTGCAGCTTGGGCATTATAGTACACCTAGCTCTCGATAATTGCACCCCCTATCCTTTTTTTCCGTATGTACCCTTTTCGGACTTTGACTTGATGCGGTGGACACCCAGAGATTGCGGGACTAGAAATATGACAGGTGCCTCCAGAAAGGACTCGCACTTAAAATTCGGGGTCGGGGTTTAGTTAGGTTTGGGTTCTCTTTTATATTCTTGGTGCACCCCGACATTTCGTGAAAGGACGTCGGACCCTCCTTCGCGGTTTTCCTAGACGTTGGTAAATACCCTACGAATCCTATAGGGGTAGGATAAGTACTCCAGGGTATACGATTAAGAGGTACGAAATAATCGAGAACAGGATGTACAGCCAGCCATCACCTCCCATTCGATTTGCTACGCTCCGCTCGCGAGGCTGTGTGCGCAATTCCAGCTGTCCGCCAGCCGCCAACCACTACTTTCGGAAGGAAAGCAAGGTGGTGTGGTGGGGTGTAGCGGTGGTGGTGTGTTGATGGGTGACGGATGGCGTGTGGAACATGTGATTGCACCCACATGTTCCCCCCAACCCACTGATGCGCCATTTCCCCTTAAAGATTGTCATTGATGGGCTTCCTGCCAGCTTGACAACTTTCAAACTGCCCTGACACAGAAGCTGCACTTCCAAAACTAGAGAATTTGGGTGGCTGGGCTGGTACACCTGCTCTCCGATATTTCCACACCCTGAACTTTGATTCTTCCCAGACACCCTATATGGTTGAAGGTTTGATGAGACGGACGCCATGACATTGCGGGTCTATTAGGAAATAACCACCAAGTCAAGGCCTTTCGAAACTCGAACTTTGTACGAAAATGAGCGGGGAAAATTCCAGTGTCAGATTGTTCCTGCGTTAAACTCGCATTGAGATTGTGTTACATTGACCCTGAAAATTCTTCGAGCGTTGCTAGCTACCTTCGAAATCGGTTCTTTCGAGGGTAGGTACCCCAGGTCATAAAGATAAAGGGTGTGGAAGTATTGGAGAGCAGGTGTACCTCCAGTGGCAGTGTACAGCTCGGCTTCTCTCTCAAAACAGTTTCAGAAAGTGCCACGTGTGATAGGAGGGCACATCTCGGGGCCTGAAACAAGCACCGCCTCACACGAATAGTGGGGACAAAATTTGCCGCAGGTGGGGAGCCCAGCACGAGCGATGCACAGTGAAGCATCTCTTTCTCGACCGCGATAGGCCCGTCCCGCATTCGCGATAAGCAGTACGAAAAGTGTGTGGACCGCAGTTTCCGCGCCAAGAGAACTCATCCTCGATAAAACTCAAAAGATGTGATGCTTTCACACTGTATTCGATATAGAGCAAATGTGCATACGACTGAAAGAACAATCATGCACGAGGTACTGGATAATCAAGGTCCAGTAAATCGTTACTGGCAATAACATTGGTTAAAGAATGGGCAGAAACACTCGCAGCTGTCAGTAAGGCTTGACATATAACAATCAATGAGTGGAAGCACAGTGGGCGGAGGAGGGGGGGAAGGTGCAGGAGGTGGGAAAGGGGGAGGCGATGGGGGCGAGGGAGGGGGAGGAGAGGGGGGAGGTGGGGGATTGGGGGGCGGGTTAGGGGGAGATGGGGGAGGCCTAGGAGGGGGGCTCGGAGGTGACGGTGGGGAAGGAGGAGGCGATTTTGGAGGTGGGGAGGGGGGAGGGGAGGGTGGGAGGGGCCCTGGCGGAAATGGCGGTGGCGGTGGTGGGCTGGCTGAAACATACACACAGAAGATAAAGGGAAATCATAATGAGATCAGAGTGAGATTACTCATCAAATCTGAGAGGAGGAGAGAGCGAGAAAATTCGATCGTGCAGTCTGATAGAGGAGAGGAAGCCACATCAAGAGGAGAGAGAGTGAGAGAATCAGATAATGCACTCTGAGTTACTCTTAGCTAATGCTTTTTCTTCCATGGAACTTGAGCTATTGGGACGTCAGAAAGGGTAAGGAGGGGCGTGTGGGGGGGAGGGTGTGGGGGGTGGGGACTCCCCACTAATTTTTGGTTTTGAGCAACCCTTGTGATCAGTGTTGCACCTGTTCAGACACCTGATTATCAGTGTGACATCTTGTTCAAACCCTGATCCATCAGTGTTTTTCTTGTTTTTTAAAATCCAACCCTGTGGCATCAGTCAGGTCTGTTTTTATCAGGGTAATTACCCTGATTTCAGGGTAATTTCACGCTTTCCACTTTGTGGAGACTGAAATTTCAGAATTAATGATTTCTCAATCCTGATCCAATCAGAGTAATTGCCAGCACATGTATTGTCGAGGCTGAAATTCCTGTTTCGACAGTTGGCAATCGGGAATCCCGGGTTACAGGAAAGGGGGGAGAGGGGGGGTATTGTACTCGCTTCAGGGTAAACTTCGTAATGAAGATCGGTAACCCTGAGGCATCAGTGTGCCTTAAATGTAAACCCTTGCAAATCAGGAAAATTCTAGCTCCAAAAATAATTACCCAAGGCCATCAGTGTGACTACCAAAAACCACCCTGATAATCAGGGTATCAGGGTGATTTACACTGATAAAATTAGTGGTGGTGGGGAGAGGGGCGAAGAAGAGAAGATATCTTCATAAGGGTCTTACAAGGAAGATATTTGAGACGTCTCAAAAGGCGTAGTGGGGAGAGGGGGGAAGAAGAGAAAATATCTTCACAAGGGTCTTACATGGAAGACTGCAAGATTTGGAGTCTGCAGTACGGACAAACGGCGCTGTGCACTGGCACTGGTAGAAGAGCACTCCGTCGCCGCTCAGACTCGCCACACACATGCCCTTCTCGTACCCGCGCTGCTGGGGCCACTGTGGCTGTCGGGCTGTATCGGGGTCACCGTGCACTGGCACTGGTAGAAGAGCACTCCGTTGCCGCTCAGACTCGAAAACAGAAGGAAGGGCAGGCACGAGACGGGGACTTACGTGGCAGGTCACAGGACTTAGCGTCTGCAGAACGGACAAACGGTGCCGTGCACTGGCACTGGCAGAACAGCACCCCGTTGCCGCTCAGATTCGAAAACAGAAGAAAGGGCAGGCAGGGGACGGGGACTTACGTGGCAGGTCACAGGACTTGGCGTCTGCAGAACGGACGAACGGCGCCGTGCACTGGCACTGGTAGAACAACACCCCGCTGCCGCTCAGATTCGCCACACACATGCCCTTCTCGTACCCGCACTGCTGGTTCGGAAAAATCGGCATCGCAAGGCTTGTCCCACAGAACACAAAGCACTCGTCCTCCGTCTTCTGCGGCTCCACAAAACTCACTGTCAGCCCGGATATGGCTGTGCAAGTGTTTGCGAGGTTTAAGAGGCAGTTCTGGGCGATTGTGTAGGAGGAGGTGGGAGGGTCCGGGCAGAGGGGTAACCCAATGCTGTCGGTGCCGTCGTTGGCTGACCCGAAAAAGAAGTTGTTGGAGAGGTCGGTGGATTTTAGCTCGCCTAGAAACCCGATCTTGGGTAAATACCCCGTGAAATAGTTGTAGGAGATGTTGCTGTGGGGGTTGGGAGGGAAGGTTAGCACATGGTGGCATGCAGGGTGTTTAAGAGCATATGCAAAACACCCTGCAACATCAGGGTGGCATGCAGGGTGAAGGGAAGAGGAAGGTTGAGGAGACGAGCGAGGACAGAGGGATTAAAGAGTGGAAGTGTTTTGAGTCGACACTTTTTGGAGGGATTAAATAGAGGAAGGCAGGGTTTTGAAAGGGTTGAAGGGAAACACATTGACTTACTGAACTGGAGATTTCAGAAATCTCACATGGATTGAAGTGAAGTGAGGGCGCTGAAGATGGTTTGCACGTGTTATGAGCTGACTTAGTCACAGAAAATCTCTCGGAATCTCACATGGATTGAAGTGAAGTGAGAGCGCTGAAGATAGTCTGCACTTGGCCACTGAAATAGTTGTTGCTGAGGTCGCTGGTGGGCGGTGAGAGGGGTGAGGAGGGGTGGGGAGGGGCAAGGAGGGGTGGGGAGGGGTGAGGAGGGGTGGGGAGGGGTGAGGAGGGGTGGGGAGGGGCGAGGAGGGGTGGGGAGGGGTGAGGAGGGGTGAGGAGGGGTGGGGAGGGGTAAGGGAGAGAGAGGGGAGGGGCACAGGGGAAAAGTGGAGAGACACAGAACAGTGAGAGCGCTGAAGAGAGTCCGCACGTGGCCACTGAAGTACTTCAGCAGCAGCAAGTACTGACAGTCGCTGGTGGCTGTGAGTGGGTTGAGAAAGGGCGGGCGGAGAGAGGCAAGGGACAGAGAACAGTGAGTGCAGTGCTGATATTTCAAAGCAGGGAAGCAATGTCAGAGGGCGCAGAGTAGAGTCTGCACATGGCAACTGCAGTAGTTGCTGCTGAGGTCGCTGCAATAGGAGAGCAACACTCAGAAGGGAGGGGTGAGATCCTGTGGAAACGGTTTTTGAGTCGACTAAAAAATCGTCTCCTCACACGTGGCCACTGCAGTAGTTGCTGCTGAGGTCGCTGGTGGGCGGTGGTGAGTGGGGAGAGAAAGAGTTGGCTGCAATAGGAGAGGAGAGCAATACTGAGAAGGAAGAAGCTGTGAGTTACTGAGGAAGGCAGACTCGTCGGAAGTAAAGAGATTGGAGAGACCATTTGAACGGTCTTGGAGTTCGGTGTGGGATTGGCCTTTCAGGTGACTCCGATTAAGAGGTGTGGGATTGGCCTTTGAGAGTTGTCAGAGGTGACTCCGATTAAGTAGCGTGGGATTCGGGAAAGGAAAGCAGACTCACAGAGAGTAGAGGGACTGCAGATTGGAGAGAGACTTGGGCAGGGAACCAGACATCTTTTGAGGCGCCTCAAAAACAGACTCCAGTTAAGTAGCGCAGGATTCAGGAAAAGAAAGCAGACTTACAGAGAGTAGAGGGACTGCAGATTGGAGAGGGACTTGGGCAGGGAGCCAGACAGAGAGTTGAAGGCCACGTTGCTGGTGTTGGGGGGGGGGGAAAGGTGAGGCGCAGGGGAGAGGGCAGATTGGAGAGAGACTTGGGCAGGGAACCAGAGAGAGATTTGAAGGCCACGTTGCTGGTGTGGGGGGGTTGAGGCGCAGGGGAGGGAAGAGGGGAGAGAGGAGGCGAGAGGGGAATGTGAGGACAGTGCAGGTCAGTCGGAGAGAGGCTTGGGCAGGCGGTGGACAGAGAGAGAGTTGAAAGAGATGTTGCTGGGAATGGTGGGGAGGAAGCACATGAGTGGAGGAGGTGACACACAAGGGAGGTGGGTGGAGCATGGGGGAGGTGGCACGTGAGGGAGGTGGGTGGAGCATGGGGGAGGTGGCACGTGAAGGAGGTGGGTGTAGGCAATGGGGGAGGTGGCACGTGAGGGATGAGAGGGATGTGGGTGGGGCAGGGGGGGAGGAGGAGGTAACAAATGAGGGAGGTGGGGCATGGGGGAGGCAGGTAGAAGGTGAGATGAAAACTTCAGGCAGCCAATTGATAGATGGAATTCAATCTACTGAGGCTGGACGGAAGTCACTGTGATGCCTGGAAGCATTTAACTCATTATCACATCAATGGACGGAAGTCACTGTGAGAATCTGGAAAGCGTTTCACTCACAAGAAATTAAGGTCTTTGGGGTTCCGAGTTTAGACTCACAAGAATCTAAGGTCGGTCATGTTTGTGGTGAAAATTGAAGGAAGAGTACCCGATAACAAGTTCTCTGACACGTCTCTAAAACAGGCGAGAGGAAAAGGTGGGAGGGGAAGGGCGTCAGGCAAAGTCTTTGAAGTCTTGCTTGTGGTGAACATTGAAGGAAGAGTACCTGATAACAGGTTCTCTGACACGCCTCTGGCACAGGAGAGGAAAAGGAGGAAAAAAAGAGGAAGGAAAAAAAGAGGAAGGAAAAAAAGAGGAAGGCAAAAAAGAGGAAGGAAAAAAAGAGGAAGGAAAGAAAGAGGAAGGAAAAAAAGAGGAAGGAAAAAAAGAGGAAGGAAAAAAAGAGGTCGAACAACAGGGAACCAGCGAGACTGGTGGGTGCGTTTGATGTGTGAGGAAGTAGGGTGAGACTGTGGGCACATATATTAGAACGTAGGAGGCGAGTGCAGGCCTATTCCTCAAGGAGAGGAACCACTGATGAAAGAAGAGGAGACGGATGGAAGAGGGAGAACGTACAATCATATTATTTTGGAGAACGAAATAAGTAAGGTAGAGAGAGCACGTGCAATCAATAAAGACAAGAATGAGGAGCATACGTTGGGAGAGATAGGAGGTGAGTGGACGGGAGGGGAGGGGAGGGGAGGGGAGGGGAGGGGAGGGGAGGGGAGGGGAAGGGAGGGGAGGGAGAAGAGGGGAGGGGAGGGGAGGGGAGGAGAGGGGAGGGGAGGGGAGGGGAGGGGAGGAGAGGGGAGGTGAGGGGAGGGGAGGGGAGGGGAGGGGAGGTGAAGGGAGGGGAGGGGAGGGGAGGGGAGGGGAGGGGAGGGGAGGGGAGGGGAGGGGAGGGGAGAGAACGTACACTTGATAAAGGTAGGAGAGTGTGGAGAGGGAGGAGGGGATGGTCCCAATAATGAAGTTGTTGTTCAACAGACTGGTTGGGGAAGATGGGCAAGGGCGAGCGAGGAGGGGGGGGGGAGGGGAGGAGGAGAAGCGGAAACAGTGAATGAGAGAATTGTTGTCAAGCAGACTGGTTGGGGAGAGGGGAGAGGGGAGAGAGGAGAGGGGAGAGGGGGGTGGGGAGAAGAAACTAAGGAGTAGGATATAAAGGGAGCAGTTGCTGTTGATAAGCAGACTGTTTGGCGAGAAGGGGGAGGGGAGTGGGGATGGGGGTGTAGTAGGGGGAAGGAGAAGACTAGCGTGTTGCGAGGGGGATGGGGACAAGACGACTCACAGGATGGCAAGGAACTCAAGGGCGGAGTAGTCGGAGGGAATGGAGCCGGATAGAGTGTTGCGGGAGAGAATCCTGTTGGGTGCATGGGGCATGGGAGATGGGTGCAAGGCATGAGACGTGGGGTGGGGGTGCGGGTTGTTGGGCATCGGAGGTTGGACATGGGAGGTTGGGCATGGGAGGTTGGGCATGGGAGGTTGGGCATGGGAGGTTGGTCATGGGAGGTTGGGCATGGGAGGTTGGGCATGGGAGGTTGGGCATGGGAGGTTGGGCATGGGAGGTTGGACATGGGAGGTTGGGCATGGGAGGTTGGGCATGGGACGTTGGGCATGGGAGGTTGGGCATGGGAGGTTGGGCATGGGAGGTTGGGCATGGGAGGTTGGGCATGGGAGGTTGGACATGGGAGGTTGGGCATGGGAGGTTGGGCATGGGAAGAGGTTGGCACGGGTTAATGAAGGTACTGAGAGGCAGGGTGACTAAACTGAATAGTTACAAAGTGTGCACACAAGGCATCGAGGGAGGTGGGTGAGTGTGCTGAGAGATGGAGAGAGCGATACGAGCTGACTTTTGAGTCTACTCAAAAACATTGCAGGGTGCTTTTGAAAGTTCTCAGAAACAGCGTGCTGCTTGGAACGCACAAGGAATTGAGGCGAGGGTGGTGGTGGGGGTGCTGGGTATGCAGGGAGAGGTATGACTGTTGCAGGGTGTTTAAAACCCTCAAAGGCAGGGCGCTGCTTGAAACACACAGGGAATCGAGTGTGGTGAGGGTACTGAGAGATGAAGGGAGCGATCCAGATAGCTTGTTGTTGTTGGCGCGACTGCGAGAGAGGAGAAGTGGAAAGGGAAGTGAGGGGTGTGGAGGGGAGGAGAGGGGTGGAGGAAAGAAAAAGCAGAGATGGGAGACTGTAGGAATGACAGGATTGCTTAGGGTTTTAGCCAAGAAAGAGGGTAAAGCAAGGCAGTGAAGGGATGAAAGAGGACGGTGGGGCACTCACACGTATAAGAGAGACAGGAGAGCTGAGAACGACGCTGATATTGAGGTGACTTTTGAGTCGACTTAAAAGGCAGGAAAGGGGTGGCCCCTCACACGTAGACGAGAGACAGGAGAGCTGAGAACGATGCTGGTATTGTCCCAGAGATAGTGTTGTTGTCAACGAGTCTGCTTATAACGAGACCGCATTAGAAAAAAGAGAGTTTGCAGGAAGAAAACCAGACTGGAAGCATGAGAGGAGCAGGAGGGGTATCTGTACTCTAGAGGTTGTAGGATATTTTTGAGAATTCTCAAAAATATGCTACTAAGGAGAGTAAAATTACTCATTTTCTAGAGGAAGTGTTGGAGGAAGTGCATGAAGGAGGGTGTTGGACGGAAATAGCAAGCATTCATTGTTTGATTTGAGGGCCTCGGATTGACACGCCTGGAAAAAGACGAGGCATACGTACAGGTTGCGCAGATTGGTGAGCGTGCTGAGAGCAGAAGGCAGCGAACCAGAGAGAGAGTTGTTGCTGAGTTGCCTGGAGGGGGAGGAGGAGATGGAAGGAAGGAGAGACGGCGGGAGAGGGGGGATAATCAGAGAAAGAGGGGGAAGGGGAAAGGTGCGTATGAGTAGTGGTTTAGTCCGCTCCGCACAACATCAGAAATGGAAAGAAGGCGGAATGGAAAGGAGGGAGAGGAATAACATGCGTAGGGGGCGGTATGGTGAGCTCAAGACACTGGTGACAGTAGGAAACATGGGCTAGTTGTGGGTGGGCAAAAGAGAGGAGGGACTCCCTCTTCTGCGTGAGAGGAGGGAAAAACGCAATGGGCGTGGAATAGAGAAAGGAACTGAGTAACTGCACACTCACTCACTCCAACGCTCATTCACTCACTCACTCACTCACATGGCCTCCAACACAGTGAGGGTGCTGTACTGAGAAGGGATCGAGCCCGAGAGTTTGTTTTGACGGATGTCGCTGCAAGGAGAATGGGATGTTTTACAGCACCAGGAAGGCGGCAAAAGAGCGGGATTCTTTATGCGCCCGCAAATTGCAATGCGAAGTCAGCCGAGCTGACGGCCATAAAAATCTTTCAAGGTCCCACTGATTCAGGCTCATATTGTGGAGTAGCAGCAAACCATAGAATCCACTATGAGCCTGAATCCTTGGGTGGGACCTTGAAAATTGTAATGCGAAATCAGCCGAGCTGACGGCCATAAAAAACTGCAACGAGAGGAACACACGGGGGAGGGTGAAGGAGAGCGAGGAAACCTCTTATAGAGAGTACAAGAAGCAAGCTCACATGGTAACTCTTATAAAGAGTACAACAAGCAAGGCTGTCAGCATCCTTTTATGGGGAGTACAACAAGCAAGGTTGTAAGCAGCCTTTTATAGCGAGTACAGCAAGCAAGATTGTACCCAGCCTTTTTATGGCGAGTACAAGAAGGTTGTGCGCAGCCATTTATAGAGAGTACAAGAAGCAAGCTCACATGGAAACGAGTCGGCGGAGGGCAGAGAGAGAGGAAGATTTTGAGGCGCCTCAAAAGTCGTCTTTTAAGGCAACTCAAAGCTCACATGGAAACAAGTCGGCGGAGGGCAGAGAGAGTGGCAGGCAGTGACCCTGTTAGAAGGTTGTTGGGGACGGATCTAAGATGGGAAGATGCGAGGGGATGGATGTGAGAAGACGGATGGATGGGGGAAGACGGCCGGGGAAATGGAAAGAAACCAGATTTTGAGAGAGGTTCTCGAAGAGAGGAGCGGACGGGAGAGAGAGGAAAGGCAGTCGCAGTGAGATGAGAAGCGCGGAGCATGGGGCATGGAGCCTGTAAAGTGGTTTGGGTCCAGCAGCCTTTTCGAGTCAAATCACAGTCACCTCGTAACTGCTCTGCTCGCTCACAGGACGGTAAGAGCTGTTAGCTTTGACAAGCCGGAGGGGATGGAGCCTGTGAACTGGTTCGAGTCCAGCCGCCTGCAGAACGATTCAGAACGATATGAAACGATGCAGAGAAGTGCGGGCCGATATGGAGAGGTGTGTGGTGTGGAGAGGCATGAAAGAAGTTGACGGAAGAGAGGGGTGTGGGAAGATATGAAAAACACGGACAAATAGTACAGGGGGACCTGGGGAATGAATTAAAACAGAAAGATGGAAAAACAAGGAGCGCAGGAGATTTTTACTTTCATTCTTTCTTTCAAGAGTAACGATTCTTTCAAAGCACTTGGATGGTGCCAGACAGGGGTTTGTTTTAAGGGTGGAGAGGGAGGGAGGGAGGGAGTCAGACAGGGGTTTGATTTGAGTTGCATACTGTCAGAACACTCTCGGAAACAATAGCTGGCTTGCATACAGGGACCTTTGAAAGAACTGTTACTGGACAAGAATGATTCCCATATATGCAGGGAGCTTTGAAAGAATCGTTTGTGCAAAAGAATCGTTCCCTTACATACAGGGTGGTGAGGGATGTGAGCGTGGAGAGGAAGGGAGGAACGGGGCCGGACAGGGAGTTGCTAGGAAGTTTCCTGATGTCAAAGTGCGAGGAGAATGGGGAAAAATATCAATGGAAAGCGAGGATAGAGGGATGGCGACAACAGTGAGCAGTCAGGATGATCTCAAGGTTGGGGGGGGGGGGTAAACGGGATGGCGCGAATGGGCGTGCCTGAGTAAGCATACGGGTGACGACGATGGAGAATGACTGAGCACACGCACGCACGCAGGCATGCACACACACACACAAATGCGTGCACACATGCACGCACGCACGTCGCACACATGCACGCACGCACGTCGCACACATGCACGCACACACACACACACATGCACACACGCACGCACACGCACGCACGCACAGGTCTTTAAGGCTCTTGAGTGCAGAGATGACGGAGGGGAAGGGCCCTGTGAGACCGGCCTTGCTGAACGACCTGTCATGTTGTACGTGTGGGGAGAGGTGGGTGGCACGGAAAGGGGAGAGGTGGGTGGCACGGAAAGGGGAGGGAGAGGGAAAGGGGTCGGTGGGACGGTTAAGGGGAGGGGAAGATGGTGGGGAAGGGCCCTGTGCGACCGATCTTGCTGAACGATCTGCCTTGTGGAAGGTGTGGACGATTTTAAGAATTCTAAAAATCAACTTCAACACAAATGAAAGGCAGAAAAGACAGAGGAGAAGGGGCCTGTGAGTGAGTGAGACCGGCCTTGCTGAACGACGTGCCTCGTGGTGGATGTGAGGTGGGGTGGATGGCAAGAGGAAGGGTGGATGGCAAGAGGAAGGGTGGATGGCAAGAGGAAGGGTGGATGGCAAGAGGAAGGGTGGATGGCAAGAGGAAGGGTGGATGGCAAGGGGAGGGGTGGATGGCAAGGGGAGGGGTGGATGGCAAGGGGAGGGGTGGGGACTGTGGGATTAGATGACGCAGAGAGGGGGACAGACAGACAGAGGTGAATGAAAGGATTTTTAATGTGCCTCAAAAATCGACAGAGGGGGGGACAGACAGAGGTGAATGCAAGGGATGGCGAGGTTTGGGTGCAAGAAGTATCAAAAATGAGCATTGGCGAGGAGAATGAAATGAAAGGCACTGGAAGGAGCGAGGGGAAGGGACGAGAACGGACTGCATGGAAGAGGTATCGTACATGAGTGGTGACTAGGTAGCGGAGAGGTGCTTTTGAGAATTCTTACTGAGAGGTGCGGGAAGGGAAGGGGGCGAGGGACTGCTTGGAAGACCTGTCTGCGTTAGCGAGGTGAGGCGAGCTGCGTTGCGCGCACGCGCCGGTTTTTGAGGATTCTCAAAAACCAGCTCTGCGTTAGCGAGGTGAGGCGAGCTGCGTTGCGCGCACGCGCCGCACGCCTGCTAAGGGCTTTTGAGACGTCTCAAAAGTCGCACGCGCCGCCCGCACGCCTGCTAAGGGCTTTTGAGACGTCTCAAAAGTCGCACGTGCCGCACGCCTGCTAAGGGCTTGGAAAGCAAGCACAAGGCGAGCATAGATTGCATTGCAGCGGTTCCAACCCTTTTCAGCCCCTTACAGGAGTGTTAGCGAGGTGAGCTGTGTCATGGAAGCCGGAAGGCTGGGGATGTCTCCGTTGGCAGTTCTGGTAGCATGGCAGGCAGGGGTGGGTGGGTGGGGGAGGTTGGGGGGGGGGAGGGGGGGGAGGTGGGGTTTGGTGTGTGAAGTAAAGTGAGGATGTTCGATTGTGGGAGCCGGAAGGCTGGGGATGTCTCCGTTGGCAGTTCTGGTGGCATGGCAGGCAGGGTGGGTGGAAAGGGGGGGAGAGGGCAGTGAATTGAGGGTGTGTGAAGCGAGGTGAGCTGTGTCATGGAAGCCGGAAGGCTGGGGATGTCTCCGTTGGCAGTTCTGGTGGCACGGCAGGTGGGGGTGGGTGTGGAAGAGGCGAGGAGGGGGTTATGGGAAATGGGGGGAAGGAGGGGGTTATGGGAAATGGGGGGGGAAGGAGGGGGTTATGGGAAATGGGGGGGAAGGAGGGGGTTATGGGAAATGGGGGGGAAGGAGGGGGTTATGGGAAATGGGGGGGAAGGAGGGTGAGCCAAGTGAAGTGTGGGGTGGGGGCGATCTTTGAGTCAACAAAAAAATGGAGGCTGAGAGGGTGGGGGTGACTCCGATTGCAGTTTTGGTGGCATGGCGGGCAGGGGTAGGTGGGTGGGTGGGGTTGAGTGAGGTTGATTATGTAGCCATTCAAAGAAGGAAGCTCGGAGGCTGGAAGGCTGGGAAGCTGGGGAGGGATGTTGCTGCAATTCCGGCCAAATGGCATGGCAAACAGACAGGGGTGGTTGGGGAGGGAAGGGGGGAGGGTGTGCGATGTGAAGTGAGAATGTGTGTTGTAGAGGCAACATCGTGAGGTGGTGATTAATAGTTGCGTCATTGCAATATACATCTGCTTACAAACATAACAACTGGTGTATATGATTGTGTGCTGTATGCCGTATGCTCACTCACAGCGATCGTAGGGCTGTCAAGTCACCCAGTGCAGAAGGGACTGTTTCAATCGCATCGTACAGGGTCCTGCTTGGGGGGCGTGTTACGTGTGTGTGCTGTGTGCTTTTGAGTCGACTCAAAAGAGATCTTCTTGGGGGGCGCGTTACATGTGCAGTGTGCTCACTCACAGCGATCGTAGGGCTGTCAAGTCACCCAGTGCAGTCGGGATCGTCCCAATCGCATCGTACAGAGACCTGCTTGGGTTAATGACCAGAGGAGAGCAGAGCAGGGCAAAGCAGAGCAGAGCAGAGAAGAGAAGAGCAGATTGGAGCAGACTCAGAGTAAGGGACCGAAGACTCACGTGAATGGCACAGCGTTAAATTTCTAACAAATATATATCAACAATGACGAAAGGTGAGTACACTCACGGAAACACAGGTTCCCAGGGAGATATAGTTAGCTAAGAAGAGCAGGAAGCAATCCGTGTGTGTCCCTATTATTCATCAATAATAACTCAATGGTACAACGCCTTTCCTGAGATGGTACACTGACAGAGACACGACATTCCCAAGGGAGTCGCAGCCAGCCGCAAAAAGTGGGGAGCGGTCCGATCCGAGCTTGTCCCAATCAACATAAAAACTTGATGGTACACTAAGTACACTCACAGAGACACACGTCCTCCCCAAGCTGTACACTCACAGAGACACACGTTCCTCCCCAAGCCATACACTCACAGAGACACGACATTCCCGAGGGAGTCGCAGCCCGCCCCAAAGAGAAAGGAGCAATCCGAGCGGCTGGTCCAGAATGCCTTGGGGCTGCGACTAGGGTGCAGGAACGTGAGCCGCAGGCAGCCTTGAACAGCATGGCACAGCACACTCACAGAGACACGACGTTCCCGAGAGAGTCGCAGCCGGCCCCAAAGAGAAGGGAGCAATCCGAGCGGCTGGTCCAGAATGCCTTGGGGCTGCGACTAGGGTGCAGGAACGTGAGCCGCAGGCAGCCTTGAACAGCATGGCACAGCACACTCACAGAGACACGACGTTCCCGAGAGAGTCGCAGCCGGCCCCAAAGAGAAGGGAGCAATCCGAGCGGCTGGTCCAGAATGTCTTCGGGCTGCGGCTAGGGTACAGGAACGTGAGCCCGTCTCTTAACGAAACGAGGGCCAGCCCTGTAACGGGGATGATCGGCGGATAGGGGAGGAGAGGAAGGGGCTTTGGAGACACGTAGCTGGAAATCTGGTGTTGTGCAAACTTAGCAAGGGACCAACCAACCAAGGATTATAAGGTGAACAAAAGCGATCAGTGTTGTGGTATAGTGTCAGGATTTACTAGCTAGCCACTAGTTAGGGGTGGTGTAATGCGCATGGTAAAAAGTATGTGTATCAGAAGGAGGAGACCACAAGTTGAGCTCAGCGAGCTGTCTTATAAAGGAGTTGAAAACAAGAGTGCAGAATGATCACATTGCGGATAGGAAACAGCAAGAGCAGCAACGCAGTACCATCTACGGGCTACAGCGTCAATAATTCAAGGCAAGACCAGAGTCTACGTACATTGCGGGTAGAGGACATTGCGGGTGGAGAACAGCTACAGCAGCGGCGTGTTTTGAGTCGACTCATAACAACATCAGAGACAACGTACGTACATTGCGGGTAGAGGACAGCGACAGCAGCGGCGCCAGGCGGTCCGATGCACGAGGGAAGGAGAAGCACTAGTAGCGGCGGCAGCAGCAGCAGCAGCAGCGAGGAGCTGCCGCGGAACATGCCACGAGGCACCAGGGAAGGGGACCCGATGCTTCTACGATGAATCTCGGAATAGCGCGTTTCGTTACTACGCGTTTTGGTGAAATTTCCCCCACTACAATGGGTTCCAGTAAAATGCATAACGCAGCGAGTTGTCCCGCTACAGCATCTCCTGCTACAGCGCATATTGCTTAAAAGCCACTCAGTCGGCTCTCCTTGTTCCTATTAGCTGCTTCGACACGTCCTTTTTGTCCCATTCATTGTCACAAGGTGAGCTGGTTCCATCATAAAGGTCCGCTTGATCTCCTTAACCGTTAGGGACGACATGCTGCCGCGGCTTGGATAGTTGCACTAAGTGACATGGTATAGGATGTCCTGAGGAGCGGCCGACGAATGGCGTGGTTCTTGAAGCGAATGTATGGAAGGTAGTATCGCGTGATTATCCTCCTTTTCTCTCGCGCAACGCAACGCTTGAACCGTGTCACAGCAGGCTATGGTGCACGCATGATGCGATACGGACTCTACGGGATGAACATCGAGGTACGCCCAGGGCGAACGTGAAAGTTGCCGAGTCTGAACGGACACACTAGCGTTTGGACGGCCAATCCGCGTGAATTAAACGCTATTCAGTGAAACGCAGTGGAAAGTACTGCATCCATTGTTTTTTCACGCTTTCCCTGAATAGCTCTCAGCTTTGAGTCAGGTGTCCTCCTGCTTGCAGCGCAGCTGCTCCAATATATGCTATATAAGCTTCGCACTATAACCTGCGATTAAAGTTTCCACTTTTCTACGATGAAAATTATACAGGCTAATGTATCTTCCAAATTTGATGTAGGTGAATGTACGGAATGCAATCCCGAAGCGGTGATGTGGAACAAGGAGCCTACTGGCAGAGTGTGGGCTCAACGGGTTTGCTGATTCGCGAATCAGAAAAGCTGGTGCCCTGCTTGAAAAGGAGGCGTTGGGCAGTGGGCAGCTGTCAAACAAAGTCAGACAGCTCGATACAATGCACTGTACAACAGCTGTGCCTCCCATGCGACAACCATTTTCTGGCGCAAACAGAAATGTTACACGGTTTTTTGAAAAAACATGCTGAAATCATGGAGCAAAACAATTTGGCTTTTGTATGTGACGCAGAGATTTGCTGTAAGGAGCAGCTGTTCTTTTCTTGCCCTCTGTGTTCAAACCTTTCCACCATTGTTGCAAATGCTTGTCAGAAATTGGCCGCCAGGTTGTCTCTCCCTAGAGATTGCATTTCTACAGCCATGGGGAATATGATGGCGTTCAAAAAATATTCTGACGTGTTTCCATCTTGGCAGGATAATAAGAAGGAGCCTTTGTCTTCCACGCTTCTACTTCGAGGCTTTCTCCTTAGCCATTCCCTCCCGAGCCATTACCTACTAGCCAATCCCTCCCTGCCCACTCCGTCCGCTCCGCTTCCCTCGCTGACTATTCCCCCATTCAACGTGGACGAGACAGCCTCGCTAGTCACACATTCAAGAGTTGACACCGCTGTTATGTGGCATTCCTTTCCGAGGGAGTCGCGCTAGCTCTCATTTTGGCTAAATTCGCCAATTTGGACGCTCCGGTCATTTGCGCATTCAGCGTGTCATATTACGACCATCGCGTCAGTTTCCATCGCGTACACTCTTTTCCTTTCCAGAGAATCCGCACATCCGCCGCCTAGTCGGCTCGCGAGAATGCGCGGTGTACCAAACGTGTTTTTCTTGCTGGCGTCGCGGCTCGAGTAGTTACTAATTCCACACGGCCCCTCGGAAATGGGAAGTCCAGACGGCATACGCTGGGAAATGGGGAGGGACGTGAGAACGTGTCGTTTCCACGTCCCGCGATTCAGTCTGTTGCTGGCGGCCGTGTTTCTTCTGTCGCTAGTAGCCCTGCAGCAGCAGACCGCGTTTGCTCAAGCCGTCAACGGAACCGACTGTACGTTTCCTGGTTACCGGGTTACCATGTAGTTTATCCCCCCGAAGTCCGTACTGCTGTGTCTGTGACTGTTCGTGTAATACTGTCGTTGCTCCTCCGATTGCAACCGTTTGACAGGTTCCATTAACGAGCCAGCCTGTAACCTTTTCTGGTTACCACGTACAGGGTTGTCGCTCAAATCGAGCAACGACGACATTTCGCTGCATATGTCCCGGCTCGTCGTTCTGCTGTCAAATCTGCATTAGGAGACACAGAAGTTGCTGAAGTCATCAACTGTGTCCATCTGTTCCCCCTCCACCCACAAATCCACCCCCTCCCGCTCGCGCTCCCTCCCCCTTTCTCCCCGTCCTCCCAGAAGACCCTCCAGACCACTCCCAGTGTCCCTTCCGATGCCCGAACCCACTCCATGCCTGTGCATGCCTCCCCTCTATCCGCCCCTGCAGGGAAGACGCTGCTACGCATCCGCAATGAGCTCAACTTCACCAACCCCGCCCGCATCCCCAAGGCGCACTGGAAGAACTTCTTGCGACATGATAAGGATACCACCCCATGACGCCAGGCCATGGTGCCTCCCCTTGTGCAATGCGTCCCTGCCAGTTCATGCATGCCTGTGCTCCTCCCCTCCATCCGCCCCTGCAGGGAAGACGCTGCTGCGCATCCGCAACGAGCTCAACTTCACCAACCCCGCACGCAGCCCCAAGGCGTACTGGAAGAGCGCCAAGAGCTGCGATGAGCTCTTTGGGGTTATCTGCGACGACCTTGGATACGTTGTTGCACTGTGAGTTACATTGTTTGTATGCTTTGTAAGTTCATGACTCTCTCTCTCTCTCGCTCTGTCTCCCCATGCCCTGTCACCATACCACTGTCATGTCATTGTTTCGAAGCACAACCCTCCACCACGCCGGTCATCTCCCCTGCAGCACTTCTTACGGAACCACCCGGCTCTCTCCCTTTCCCTCTCTTGACTTCCATTCCATCTTACCCAGGTCGTTCCTTCCCCCTGCCACCCTGTTGTCCCCCCATCCCATTCACCCCGGCCGATTCCCCTGCAGCACGCTCTACGGGTTCAACGGCTCTCTCCCTTTCCCACTATTCACTTCCATGTCGTCCCCCCCGCCACCCTGTTGTCCCCCCATCCCATTCACCCCGGTTGTCTCCCCTGCAGCACGCTGTATGGGGTCAACGGCTCTCTCCCCAACGCCATTGGCGAACTGCCCTCCCTCGCCTTCCTGTCAGTGCCCTTTCGCTTCGCCTTTTCTCCAACTGCAGTCTCTCCTCTGTCGCTTCTCTCCCTTAGTCCTTATCCCCCACGTGTCAGCACCTTCTCACTGCCCTCCCTCGCCTTCTTGTCAGTCCCCTCTCGCTTCCCGTTCTCTCGAACTACAGTTTCTCCTCTGTCGCCTCGCCCCTTTTCTCTTTATTCCTCACATGTCGCGCCCTCTCACTGCCCTCCCTCGCCTTCCCCTGCTTACATTCAAGCACATCGGGAAAGGCACCGTGCGTGGTTGCCTTTCTCTCCTCTTTCCCCACTCCCCCACTCCCCTCTCACACCAGCTCAGCACTACAGCCTGCATTCGTACGTTCTTGTGCTGAAACGAGCATCTGTCTGTCCCGAAACTTTTGTATCTTCTCTCTCCTTCTCCCTTCTCCTCTCACTCCTCCCTTCCCCTCCCCTCCTCCCGCTCCCCTCCTTCCCTCCTCTTTCCCCCTCCTCTCACGCCAGGTCTGCAGGCAACAATGTCACTTCCATCCCTTCCACCCTCTCCCTTCTCAACGCCACACTCACCTCCCTGTATTGCCACACTCACCTCCCTGTATTGCCACACTCACCTCCCTGTATTGCCGCACTCACCTCCCTGTATTGCCACACTCACCTCCCCTGTACTCCAATCGTTTCCCTATTGTTAGGGGTCAGATATCTCAAAGCATCCTCACTAACGTCTCATCTTTGCCTTAAAAAAATTACCCACCTCCTGACACCTGTCTTGCTGCTCACCTCCACTTCTTTATCCACCGGTGTTTATCACTTTTGAGAATTCTCACAAGTGATTTCAAAAGCCACTTTTTGGAATTCTCACAAGTGATTTCATAAGTCACTTTCGAGAATTCTCCAAAGTGATTTCAATACACCTCCACTTCTTCATCCACCGGTGTTTGTCACAAAGTTACATCCACACGCTCACTAACATCTAGCCTTCTCCTCTCACTCACTCACTCACTCACTCACTCCTCCAGCCATCTGAGCAACAACCAGATCTCAGGGACTTTCCCCAAGGGGATTACGTTGCTGACAGCACTGCAGCAACTGTAAGACTTGCATTCTGTCTGGTTTGCCTCGGAATGGGATTTGAAGAGCGTCACATGTCAACCAACCACCAGTGAGGAACAGCAATCTTGGTGGGTCCTTAGTTAATGGAAACCCACAAAAATGTCTTGTGTGTGCTCCTCTATCCACTCACGCTCCGTCCTTTTTTTTTGCAGGCGTTTTTGTAGAATTCTCTAACTCCATCCGACACACTCCCATGCTCGCACTCCCCATCTCCCCATTTACCATACTCCCCATTCCTCATAATCCCATTCTCCATGTCCCAACCACATGCTCCCATGCCCTCCCTGCCACAGCAACATGGCGCAAAACAGGCTGACTGGCAGCTTACCTGTTGGCATCTCGCGCCTCTCCTAGGCTTACCCTGAGACTTCTTTCAAAGTGCTTTTTGTACGGCCCCATCCCGTTGCCCTACCTGCCACAGCAACATGGCTCAAAACAGGCTCACCGGTAGCTTACCTGTTGGCATCTCCCGGTTATCCTCTCTCACCTTCATGTAAGAAGAATTATCTTCGTCAGACATCATGAAAACAGCAGCTGTCGACTGTTCTGTGCTGTGCTGCCAATCGGCCTGTGCTGTGGCCTCTGCTGTGGGCTGTGCTGTGGCGTGCTGGAGGTGACTTTTGAGTTGACTCAAAGTCACCTCTGTGGTGTGCTGGGCTGTTCTTTCGATATATGCTTTGCCGTGCAAATTTATGTGTAGTGAAGATGCTTTGCCATCCCAAACTAACCTTCTTTTCCAATGTCGTAACACATTTATTCATCTTCTGTGCAGTGAGATTTGTCACACAAAACGCTCAACACCTCCTAGATCGATCAACCCTGCCTTCCACTTAGCTTGTCATTCCCCTTCTTTCCTCTCATTCCCCCAATTTCCGCCCCTGCCCTTCTCTCCTGCTCCTCACATCTCCCGTCACCGCTATGGAATCAGAGTTACTCTTGCAAAATCTCGCAAGTAGCTCAGATATTTCCCTTCCCCTCTCTGGTATCGTCACATCTTCAAGTTAATCTCTCTTTATATGCTACACCCACACCTGCTCATCGCCTGTCCTGCCATATACTACTCCCTCGCTCTCTCCCTTCCAGCCGGATGGACGGAAATCGGCTGGATGGGCCAATCCCGTCACAAATATCGACTATGTCCGCCCTCTCCTACCTGTGCGTATGTTTTAAAAGTTTGTTTTTTATCTCAGAATTTCCTCTTCTTACTTGCAACTAGTTTTTCATTCATTACTCAACGCTTTGAAGACTGTTGGTGTTTTTTTTTTTTTTTTTTTTTTTTTTTTTTTTCAATGTTGCAATATCTCTGTGCCAATGCCATTTTTTTACTCCTCTTTTGTTATTCTCCTTCCGCCTCACCCGGCACTAGTTGTCTTTCTTGTGCGTCTAATATGACGAAACAAATTTAACCTTTTCTCCTTCCACCTCTCCCTAAGCCATGCTGTCTTGGCTACTGCCTTCTACAAGTGTTCACTATCCCTCAGCCCCCTCCTCTTATTACCTTCCCTTTCTGCTTGTCAGCTCGTTGCGAGGCAACCAGCTTACAGGGTCCATCCCAGCCTCCATCTCTCGCGTGCAAGCTCTGCAGCTAATGTGAGTTGTGTGAGTGAGTCCAGCGGATGAGTCATGCCATGCGTGCGTTGCATTGCACCTCACTAATGTGCTGCACCTCACTAATGTGCGGCACCTCACTAATGTGCTGCACCTCACTAATGTGCGGCACCTCACTAATGTGCTGCACCTCACTAATGTGCGGCACCTCACTAATGTGCGGCACCTCACTAATGTGCGGCACCTCACTAATGTGCGGCACCTCACTAATGTGCGGCACCTCACTAATGTGCTGCACCTCACTAATGTGCGGCACCTCACTAATGTGCGGCACCTCACTAATGTGCTGCACCTCACTAATGTGCTGCACCTCACTAATGTGCTGCACCTCACTAATGTGCGGCACCTCACTAATGTGCGGCACCTCACTAATGTGCGGCACCTCACTAATGTGCGGCACCTCACTAATGTGCGGCACCTCACTAATGTGCTGCACCTCACTAATGTGCGGCACCTCACAAATGTGCGGCACCTCACTAATGTGCTGCACCTCACTAATGTGCTGCACCTCACTAATGTGCTGCACCTCACTAATGTGCGGCACCTCACTAATGTGCGGCACCTCACTAATGTGCGGCACCTCACTAATGTGCGGCACCTCACTAATGTGCGGCACCTCACTAATGTGCTGCACCTCACTAATGTGCGGCACCTCACTAATGTGCGGCACCTCACTAATGTGCTGTACCTCACTAATGTGCTGCACCTCACTAATGTGCTGCACCTCACTAATGTGCGGCACCTCACTAATGTGCGGCACCTCACTAATGTGCTGCACCTCACTAATGTGCTGCACCTCACTAATGTGCTGCACCTCACTAATGTGCTGCACCTCACTAATGTGCTGCACCTCACTAATGTGCTGCACCTCACTAATGTGCGGCACCTCACTAATGTGCGGCACCTCACTAATGTGCGGCACCTCACTAATGTGCGGCACCTCACTAATGTGCGGCACCTCACTAATGTGCTGCACCTCACTAATGTGCGGCACCTCACTAATGTGCGGCACCTCACTAATGTGCTGCACCTCACTAATGTGCTGCACCTCGCTAATGTGCTGCACCTCACTAATGTGCGGCACCTCACTAATGTGCTGCACCTCACTAATGTGCTGCACCTCACTAATGTGCTGCACCTCACTAATGTGCTGCACCTCACTAATGTGCGGCACCTCACTAATGTGCGGCACCTCACTAATGTGCTGCACCTCACTAATGTGCTGCACCTCACTAATGTGCTGCACCTCACTAATGTGCTGCACCTCACTAACGTGCTGCTAGACATGCCGTTTTTCTCCTCCTCCTGCTGCTGTGGGTTGTGAGTCGAGTCAAAGCTCACAGGATCCATCCCAGCCCAGGCTCCTTCTCGAGAGACTTTTGAGAATTCTCAAAAGTCACTCCTGCTGCTGTGGGTTGTGAGTCGGGTCAAAGCTCACAGGGACCATCTCAGGCTTCCTCTCGTGTGTGAAGGCTCTGCAGCTAATGTGAGTCATGCCCTTTTCCATTACTCCTCCTCATGTGCCTTCTTCTGTTGCTTCCTTTCCCCATGGCTCCCATTCTCACGGTCTTTTAACCCTCCCACCAGCATGACATAACATCCCTCTCATCCCGCACCTAACCCCCGAGTGAAATCCACAGAAACTCTCCGTCTTCCCTCACCCACAGAAACTCTCCATCTTCCCTCACCCACAGAAACTCTCCGTCTTCCCTCACCCACAGAAACTCTCCGTCTTCCCTCACCCACAGAAACTCTCCGTCTTCCCTCACCCACAGAAACTCTCCGTCTTCCCTCACCCACAGAAACTCTCCGTCTTCCCTCACCCACAGAAACTCTCCGTCTTCCCTCACCCACCCCTTCCAGCTCACCATTTTCTGTACCCCCAATCGTCCCTTCCCAACATTCCTCCTCTCAAATGGTCCTTTGTATTAATTCAGCAGGGGTACGTACATACATGCAGTTCTATCCATGATAACCTCAATCCCATAAGCCCATCAACTCACCCCTCTTCCCTTCCCAACATTCCTCCTCTCTCTCTCTCTCTCCCCAACCCCTTGCCCCCAGTGACCTACGCAACAACTCTCTCACTGGCTCAATCCCATCTCAGATCGGCTCGCTCTCAAAACTCATCTGGCTGTGAGTCCCAATGTGTGCCTTGAGTCAGCTCAAAACACAACCCCTACCTCGATCTGCCCCAAAGGCCTCCGCAACAACTCCCTCACCGGCTCAATCCCATCTGAGATCAGATCTCTCTCTAAACTTATCTGGCTGTGAGTCGTGGTTTGGCTGTGAGTCGTCGTTTGGCTGTGAGTCGTCGTTTGGCTGTGAGTCATCGTTTGGCTGTGAGTCGTCGTTTGGCTGTGAGCCGTCGTTTGGCTGTGAGTCGTCATTTGGCCGTGAGTCGTCGTTTTGCTTTGAGTCGTCATTTGGCTGTGAGGCGTCATTTGGCTGTGAGGCGTCATTTGGCTGTGAGGCGTCATTTGGCTGTGAGTCGTCATTTGGCTGTGAGTCGTCATTTGGCTGTGAGTCGTCATTTGGCTGTGAGTCGTCATACCTGAGCAACAATAAGGTCTCGGGCTCTCTGCCATCCACCATGGGCAAACTCTCCCACCTGACTTGATCCATGGGCACTCACATCACAGCAACCCATGCCTGACTTGAATTGACCCATGCACCTCAATCCTGGCCGCTTGCACGTCATTCCCTCTCTATCTATTTCGTCCCATCAGGTACCTGAGCAACAATAAGATCTCAGGCTCTCTGCCATCCACTATGGGAAAGCTCTCTCGACTCAGATATTTGTATGTCTGCCACTCACCCCTGCTTTTGAGTCTACTCAAAAGCAGACTCTGCCATCCACTATGGGAAAGCAGACCCTGCTTTCTCTTGACCACTATTCAGATATTTGTATGTCTGCCACTCACCCCCCCACCTCTTTTCCCTCCTCTTTCCTCCGTCCTCTCATCACCATCGTCTTTTCACCCTCCGCTCTTCACTCTCACTTCTTTGGTCCCACTCCCACTCTCATTATCATCTTTCTCTGTCCAATGGCTATCAACCCTCCTTCCCACCCATCTGTCCCCCTTTCATTTGCTCCTATTTCACCCCTCTCTCTCCCCTCCTGCAGTTTCGCAAATGCCAACTCTCTCTCAGGATCCATCCCAGCCACCGTATCCAGCCTCCTCTCCCTCAGCTACCTGTGCGTGCTGCCCTCAACTCAACTACATACATGAGCATAGAGCCCTCAGCTACCAACGTGTGTGCACCGCCCTCGGTTTAAGGGATGCATTAGAGCCGTCAAACCTCCCTCTCCCTCAGCTACCTGTGCGTGCTGCCCTCAACTCAACTACATACATGAGCATAGAGCCCTCAGCTACCAACGTGTGTGCACCGCCCTCGGTTTAAGGGATGCATTAGAGCCGTCAAACCTCCCCCTCCCTCAGCTACCTGTGCGTGCTGCCCTCAACTCAACTACATACATGAGCATAGAGCCCTCAGCTACCAACGTGTGTGCACCGCCCTCGGTTTAAGGGATGCATTAGAGCCGTCAAACCTCCCTCTCCCTCAGCTACCTGTGCGTGCTGCCCTCAACTCAACTACATACATGAGCATAGAGCCCTCAGCTACCTACGTGTGTGCACCGCCCTCGGTTTAAGGGATGCATTAGAGCCGTCAAACCTCCCTCCCGGGGTCCATCCCAGCCACCGTATCCAGCCTCCTCTCCCTCACCTACCTGTGCGTGCCGCCTGCCCTTTGTTCAAGAGATGACTCTTGAGTCAACTTGCCTTCTCAGGCCTCTCAGCATCTTTGTCCTCTCAGGGTCCATCCCAGCCACCGTGTCCAGCCTCCTCTCCCTCACGTACCAGTGTGTACAGCCCCCAACCACCTGTGCATTCAGCCTCCCTCTCTCCCGGCCTCAAACACAAATTTGGCTGTCTCTGTGTCTTTCTCACCGCATTCAACCGAGTCAAACCTTTCCCACACCAGCTCTGCGTGCTCCAACCAGATCTCAGGCCCCTTCCATTCCAGCATCACTACCTAGTCCTTAATCGCCTGCCTTAGTGTTGTTCTCACCGCATCCAACCGAGTTCAACCTCTCCCACCCGCATTCCACCAGCTCCGCCGGTGGCAACCAGCTCTCAGGCTCCCTTCCTGCTAACATCACTGCCCTGTCCAAACTCGGCTTCCTGTAAGTTATTGCTGCACGAGAGCAACTTTTGAGAATTCTCAAAAGTCACACCAACACAGCCCTCCCTTCCTGCTAACATCACTACCCTGTCCAAACTCGTCTTCCTGTAAGTTATCGCTGCGAAAGAGCGCCCTATTCAAGAGTTACTGCTCCATTAAACAGAAAGGGTTTCGATTTCCCCGCCTTCAGCTCTCCTCTATTCACAATCTTGGCTTCCTAAACAAGCGAACAAACAAGAACGTACACTTACATACTGAAAGCAAGCTTGCCACTGATGTTGACTTTTGAGTCGACTCAAAAGACAAACAAGAACGCACACTTCCATACTGAAAGCAAGCTCACCACTGATGTTCTTCCCATTTCCAATGCATCCCATCTATATGTGTAACTGGGGCAACATTCTAACTTCAGTTCAAAGTCGCGTCCTACTTCCATTCCATTCCATGCATGAACTTCACATGCCCCTCTCTACCCTTCTTCTTCACATGCCCCTCTCTACCCTTCTTCTTCACATGCCCCTCTCTACCCTTCTTCTTCACATGCCCCTCTCTACCCTTCTTCTTCACATGCCCCTCTCTACCCTTCTTCTTCACATGCCCCTCTCTACCCTTCTTCTTCACATGCCCCTCTCTACCCTTCTTCTTCACATGCCCCTCTCTACCCTTCTTCTTCACATGCCCCTCTCTACTTGCAGGCAGCTCGATCATAACGCCCTCTCGGGCTCCCTGCCAGAGAACATGACTTCTCTCACCAACATGGTGTACCTGTGAGTGTAATCACGGATGCATGTGCATTCATGGATGGTTGATACTCACGGAGTTATCATGTCTACATCCCTATGTTTGGTAGCAACGCCCTCTCAGGCTCCCTGCCAGAGAACATGACTTCTCTCACCAACATGGTGTACCTGTGAGTGCATTCGTACCTGTGAGTGCATTCGGACCTGTGAGTGCATTCGTACCTGTGAGTGCATTCGGACCTGTGAGTGCATTCGTACCTGTGAGTGCATTCGTACCTGTGAGTGCATTCGTACCTGTGAGTGCATTCGTACCTGTGAGTGCATTCGTACCTGTGAGTGCATTCGTACCTGTGAGTGCATTCGTACCTGTGAGTGTATCATGCATCTACGGTTTAACTGATATCTGTGCTGATGTGTTTACTTATGCTTAGTGTTATGCAGTGCTCATTTGCTTACTTTTTCCTGCTCTCCTCCTCCACCGTCTCTTCTCTCCTTCTCCTGCCCTTCACCTGTCTCCGTTTTGCCCATCTCAACCCCAACTCCCCCTCTCCCCTCCCAGGAACCTCTCTTACAATGCTCTCTCAGGCACGCTGCCTTCCTTCTGTGTTGAGTTTTTCAGCCAACCTTCACTCCCTCGTTTCCTCCCCCCATCGTCTCTCTCAACCCCCTCTGCTCCCTTCCCAGGGACCTCTCTTACAATGCTCTCTCAGGCACGCTGCCTTCCTTCTGTGTTGAGTTTTTCAGCCAACCTTCACTCCCTCGTTTCCTCCCCCCATCGTCTCTCTCAACCCCCTCTGCTCCCTTCCCAGGGACCTCTCTTACAATGCTCTCTCAGGCACGCTGCCTTCCTTCTGTGGCAGTGCCATGTCTAATCTACACACCGTGTGAGTATATCCCTCTGGCCATCTCAGTCAACTCATGCACCATCTCTCCGTCCTCTCTCTGCCTCCTCCCTTGCCCCATCCACTCCTCTCTCTGCATTGATCTATCAGACAATGCCCACGTGGAACGTCTGCCCTCTAACCTCGCCTACTGCAGAATTCATTCTCGAGAATTCTCAGCAATCGCTGGGGCCCTCTGGCATTGCCAACTGCACCGCCATTTCTGAGGCGCCTCAAAAGCCATCTGAGTCGGCCTTCACACCACCACTCCAGCCTTCACACCACCTCTCCTCCCCTTCCTTTTTCCCTCTCTGCAGCGATCTCTCCGACAATGCATTGGTGGGATCGCTGCCCTCTGGCCTGGCCAACTGCTCCACCCTCATCAGCCTGTGAGCACCCCTGTTCCCTTATTGTTTTGGAATAACACTGGGGCACCTAAAGACAATGCATTGGTGAGATCGCTTCCCTCTGCCCTTGCCAACTGCTCCACGCTCATCAACCTGTGAGCGCCTCTTATCCTTGGGTGAACAATCCCAAAGCACTGCCAATTGAGCGATTCAAAGACAACCAAACAAAGAAACGATCTTTGTCAACAACTGCTGCATCCTTCTGAACTTGTGAGCGCCTCTGCATCAGAACCTCATTTCTGTGCAGTAGACACTTATGAGACGTCTCAAAAGTCGCCTCTGCACAAGAACCTCATTCTTCTGCGGTTAGACCTCAGTCATCTCGTTCTCCTACTCAGTACTCAGTAATCAGTACTCACCAACCTCTCCCTCCACTCTTCCCTTCTCTTCCCGCCCCTCTCCGTCTCCTCCACCTGCCATCATCTCCCCCCACCCCCAGCCCCCATCCGCTCCCACTCCCTCCCCCAGCGATCTCAGCAACAACGCCCTGAGTGGCCGCATTGACACCATACCTTCCACTCCAACCTCTCTTCCTTCTCCTCCCTCTTCCCCATTCACTGCTCGCGCCATCATCACCTTCCCCCCTTCCCCACGTCCCTCCCCCAGCGATCTGAGCAACAACGCCCTGAGTGGCCGCAATGACACCATACTCTCCACTCCAAACAACCTCTCCTCCCTTCTCTCCACAAACCATCGTCCTCACATCCCCATCCTCCCCCTCTCCCCCATCTGCCCGCACAGTGATCTCAGCAACAATGCCCTGAGTGGCCGCATAGACACCATACTCTCCAACCTCTCCTCCCTCTCCTCACTGTATGTACCCGCTGCCTCACATTAATCGACTCTTGACTCGTCTCAGGCAGTATGCTATGTCGACAAAAACATCCTCTCTCTCTCTCCTCTCTGTATGTATCCAGTTAGGATCTATTGCTCTTGATTCAGTTTCTTTTTTTTTTTTACATAAACTTCCGCGGTTGGGGGTGCCCTCCCTCCCCTCCCTCCCCTCACTCCCCTTTATTGCCCCCCCCCCCCCCCCCCCCCCCCTTTTCCCTCTCTTTCTATGTCCTTTCTGCCTACCCCTCCCCCCGCCCTCTGTCCCGCTGTATCCCTCTCCCCCACCAGTAACCCATCTTGCAACTACTTCAATGGTGGACCGCCCTCCTTCCCCACCCTACCCCATGTTGACCTATCTATCCCCACTTTCTCTGTACCCCCGACACCCTCTTCCCCACCCCACTCCCCATCCACCAGTAACGTATCTCGCAACTACTTCAGTGGTGGGCTGCCCTGCCTCCCTCGATTGACCTCGCACTCCCTGCTCCCTCTACATTCCCCACCTCCTCTCCCCCATACCCTCTCCTCCACCCCTTCTCCCCCACCAGTAACCTATCTCGCAACTTCTTCAGTGGTGGGCTGCCCTGCCTCCCTCGATTGACCTCGCACTCCCTGCTCCCTCTACATTCCCCACCTCCTCTCCCCCATACCCTCTCCTCCACCCCTTCTCCCCCACCAGTAACCTATCTCGCAACTACTTCAGTGGTGGACTGCCCTCCCTCCCCTCCACAGAGCAGATCCCAACCGTCGATCTCACCCACAACTTCTTCTACGGCCCGGGCCACATAACAGACAGCCAAGGCCGCCCGCTCTGCCAGTCCGCCGACCGGACGCTCGCCCTGGGCGGCAACTGTGTCGTTTTCGACGCTACTCTCGCCCCGCTTTGCTCGTCTGAAGTGCAGAAAGAAGCGAACGCCTGCAAGCTGTTCTGCTCCACGAATATGACCTCTTCGGGAAGGTTTCAGGAGAATGCGCAGTGTGGCGGGCTGGGCACGTGTGAGGCTGTGGTTGCAAGTGCTGGGGCTGGTGGAGTAGTTGGTGGCGCTAGTGGTGCTGCTGCTGGTGGTGTTGGTGGTGGACTTGGCGGCAACAGCAACAGCAGCAGCAGCAAGAAGGGTGGGAAAGCTGGTAGTAGCACGACCACCAGCAAGAGAGGCAGCAAGGGTGGCAGTAAGAGTGGGAAGCAGAGCAGCACAGCAGCAGCAGCATCAAAAGCAGCGGCAGTGGATACTGGGAGAGTGACCTTTGCATGCAACTGCCCGGCTGATATTGCCTTGCCAACCCCAGACGGCATGTCCTGTGCTATTATCGGTGAGTTCTCTTATCAATGAGAGCTATTTAGACCACTAACTACCACTCGCAACACCTCGGTGCAAACACCATGTGCGCCCAGTCTCTTTTCACGCGTCCCTTCAAGGCTGCAGTTTCGGTTCCTTAAGCGCCTGTCTTTTTGCCGTCAGTCATGAAGACTGGGAGAGCTGCAGTTTAGGAAGATTCTTTAGCAGAAGAAAACTGTTCACGCGTCACTTCAAGGCTGTAGTTTCGATTCCTTAAGCGCCCCTCCGATAACCTGTTTTCAAGCCCGTAGGAAACTCGCATGCATTGAGGTGATTTTTAAGGCGCCTCAAAAACTACGTCACTCCAAGGCTGTAGTTTCAATTCATTTGGCGCCTGTATCTCAGCCAGTTTCCAAGCCCGTAGAAACTATGCTCCCAAGCCTGATGGTCTAATCTGTTTCCAAGCCTCTTAAGACTGTGTCGATTGTAAGGTGCCTCAATTATCGCCTCTGAAGGCTGTGTCCCCAAGATTCTCATTTTGTTTCGTCCTTACTGACTCTCCCACTAAACCCACCTTGACTCTTTCATATGTCATTTTCATCCTTACTACATCTTCCACTTATCCACCCCTTGCAAATCCCCCCCATTTCCCCCTTGTGTGTGTGCTCTTCTCTCCTCTCCTTCCCACTCCTTCCCTCTCCTTCCCTCTCCTCTCCTCTCCTCTCCTCCCCTCTCCTCTCCCCTCTTCCCACCCCACTGCAGCCAAGCCTCCCCCACCACCGTCTCCCCCAAGCCCACCTCCTCGACCCCCCCCTCGCCCCCCTCGCCCTCCCCCTAATCCTCCCCCTCAGCCTCCCCCCAGCCCTCCCTTTAGTCCTCCCCCTCAACCTCCCCCTAGTCCTCCCCCTAGCCCACCTCCCCCCAACCCTCCCCCAAACCCTCCCCCTCAACCTCCCCCCAGCCCTCCCCCAAGCCCCCCTCCTAACCCCCCTCCCCCCAGCCCACCTCCCCCTAACCCTCCCCCAAATCCACCCCCTCAACCGCCCCCCAGCCCTCCTCCTAGCCCTCCCCCAAGTCCCCCTCCTAGCCCCCCTCCCCCTAGCCCACCACCACCCAACCCTCCCCCCAGCCCTCCCCCTAATCCTCCCCCTCAACCTCCCCCTAGCCCTCCACCTAACCCCCCTCCCCCTAGCCCACCTCCCCCCAACCCTCCCCCCAGCCCACCCCCCAGCCCTCCACCTAATCCCCCTCCCCCTAGCCCACCTCCTCCCAGCCCTCCCCCTAGCCCTCCCCCTCAACCTCCCCCCAGCCCTCCCCCTAATCCTCCCCCTCAACCTCCCCCCAGCCCACCCCCAAGCCCCCCACCTAACCCCCCTCCCCCTAGCCCACCTCCCCCTAGCCCTCCCCCAAATCCCCCCCCTCAACCTCCCCCCAGCCCTCCCCCTAATCCTCCCCCTCAACCTCCCCCCAGCCCACCCCCAAGCCCCCCACCTAACCCCCCTCCCCCCAGCCCACCTCCCCCTAGCCCTCCCCCAAATCCACCCCCTCAACCGCCCCCCAGCCCTCCTCCTAGCCCTCCCCCAAGTCCCCCTCCTAGCCCCCCTCCCCCTAGCCCACCACCACCCAACCCTCCCCCCAGCCCTCCCCCTCAACCTCCCCCCAGCCCTCCCCCTAATCCTCCCCCTAATCCTCCCCCTCAACCTCCCCCAAGCCCACCCCCAAGCCCCCCACCTAACCCCCCTCCCCCTAGCCCACCTCCCCCTAGCCCTCCCCCTAATCCTCCCCCTCAACCTCCCCCAAGCCCACCCCCAAGCCCCCCACCTAACCCCCCTCCCCCTAGCCCACCTCCCCCTAGCCCTCCCCCAAATCCCCCCCCTCAACCTCCCCCCAGCCCTCCCCCAAGCCCCCCTCCTCATCCCCCTCCCCCTAGCCCACCTCCCCCCAGCCCTCCCCCTCATCCTCCCCCTCAACCTCCTCCCAGCCTCCCACCTAGTCCTCCCCCTAAACCTCCCCCCAGCCCTCCCCCAAACCCCCCACCCAATCCCCCTCCCCCTAGCCCACCTCCCCCAAGCCCACCTCCTAGCCCCCCTCCCACTTCAACCCTACAGCTTCAATCAACCACCCCTAATAGTCCACCCCCCTCACCACCACCATCATCACCCTCTCCTCCTCCCTACTCCCCGCCTCCCCCCAGCCCACCTTCCCCCTCGCCTCCCCCTCCTCCTCCCCCTTCACCCTCGCCTCCCCCTCCTCCTCCCCCTTCACCCTCGCCTCCCCCTCCTCGTCCCCCTTCACCCCCCCCTCCCCCCAGTCCACCACCGCCCCCACCCCCGCCGAATTTGTGCATGTGGAATGGAAGCAAATGGATTTGCCCGCCGGGTCAGGGTGCACCTACTTGGTCGCCTAGAGTCTAAACTAGTATACATAATTTTATTGCTTTTAATATATGGACCAGTCGACATCCACACTTCTTTGTGAGGCGTTTCGTAACTGGCTAGTATGAGTGGAAGGCAAACTCAATCGGAACCTTTAAAGGCTTGGTGCCATCAACTTGTGGATTTGCATTGTGGACTTACTAACATACCGGTACCCTACTTTTTGTGCTTTTAAGAGCGTGTTCATACACCTCGTATCAGAAACACCTCGTATCAGCTTCGCGTGATGAAATACGTTACAGTACGTTCGACTGCGTTAGAATGCGTTTAAGTGCGGTTCGACGCGAATCTGATACGAGGTCCCTGATACGAGGCCGTAGGAACACGCTATAAGATTATGTGTCCCCTACATCTTATGTGGGTACACTATTTACGGAGCTACACAGAGGTTGACAGGTGCGCGCACGAGCATTCTTGAAACATCTGAACAGCTGGCACCACACTCGACCGTGCTTGATGCCTAATTCACCGCACGCGATAAAGTACTCCAATGATGCACTCATAAAATGGCCTCGTTTGGTCCACCCTTGGCTTCACCTCGGTTGTGTTTGCTTTCACAATCACGCATGGCTGCCACTCCAAACCAAGCAAGCAACATTCTCCAAGTACTGCCGTTGCGCCTCGTATGTTCACGATTGACAGCCACAACCGCTGGAGTTCGTAATTATAAGAAGTGGACTCCTGGTTCCGAGTTTTTTCTTATCCATCTCGTCAGCCGTCGATTTTTTTATTTTTTTTATGCTGGTAGTGCCTCTGGTCTGGCTAGTATGATATCATTCGCTTATTTGCAAGATGTGCAAAACTGCGTTATCGAAGTATGTCAAGCGTGCAACCCCGAAGTGCTTCCTCTTTCCGACATTTCATTCTTCTTAACTCGAGGCCCGGTTCTCATCGCTTCATTCGTCCTGGAAGAACTCAGCTCAGATGTTAGATCGTTATTTGCCTCATTACGACGTCGCGTAGACTAACGATTCCAGTCATTCCTGAAATTTAAATGCTGTTGGTGTTTTCGACACATCATGATTAACAAGAAGCTATACCTCCAATCTAATTCTGTTCACGCAACTCACGAATCTCAACGACAACTCTCACAGCAACACACGTCTGATAAGAGATTTTTGGACGCTATTTTACTGCTCTCTATCAAGCTCTTCTCATTTGTGGATTTGTGGAACTCTGCTCTATCAACCTCTAGCAACGAATTCTCTGCTCTCTATGAAGTTCTGAAGGTTTGATGGCTCGTGAGAATATATGGTAACAGAGTCTGCCTGTACCGTTCACGAAATGCCAGAACCTTCGCATGGTGTCTTCTCGAGGGATGCTGTTTTCATCCACAATAACCTGAAAATTCGGAAGTGCTTTGCGGTAGGAGAGCACCTTATCTTCTTTTTTGTCTTCGCTTTTTTCAGAAGCAAATATGTCAGCTTTGACACATACCATCGACAAAGTCGCAGAGAAAACAGAACACCTTTTCGGGCAGCTTTGCCACGGGCAACCTCTCTCACATTTCGCATTTCAACCTCAGCTCACCCCGATGTTGACGAACCCCGACTCTGACGAGCCTCGTTCAGGTTGACCTATTTCCCCATTTTTTTGTTCAGTTTTTCACCTTTTCCTTTGACGTTATTTCTGGTTGTGTTCGTAGTGGCAATGGCTAAGCACAGAGATAGGGATACCCCAACGAGACACGTGCATCCACCACGTGTCCTCGGCTCCGCCAATCACGACACAGACAACGAGTCTGGCGGCGGCGGCGCGGCCGCATCCGGCGGCAGCGGATTTGGCCGGCACCGGCCACCGCGGGACGCGGGGGGTGAAAGAGTACGGTTTAGATCGGTTCAGGGAGAGGGAGAGCGAGACAAAGAGAGGGACAGAGAGAGAGACAGGGAACGGGAAAAATCAGGAGAGAGAGAAAAGGATCGGGACAGGGATAGAGATAGAGATAGGGAGCGGGAGCGAGAGCGGGAGAAAGGGCACAAGGGCCGCGCCGCGGATAAGGTAACAAGCGAGGGAGGAATAAGCGACAGCGAGAGAGGCCGCGACGCGAAATGGGAGGAGCGCGGCGAGGAGTCGCAGAGTCTGCGCATGGGGGATGGCAGCGGCGCGTTTGGCGGCGAGAAGGACGGCCATGTGGGCGGGTCGAGCGTCCCCAGTGCGGAGCGATCGCGACGGCAGGTCAGGCCGCGATTGGTCGGGCAGATCGGGCGAGATGGACGGTCAAGATTCAACAAATCGAAAGACGGGTGTGTATTTCCTTCGCTATGGACACTCTTGTTAGTGTATATCTCCCTACAGCTCTCGAACATCTACAAGAAACCTTCGTTTAGTCACACGAACCTTTCATCTTCTTTCCAGCCTTCCGTCTCCCCAACCCCCCATTACCCTCTCTTCCCCCTCTCTCGCATACCACCTTCCGCGCTTCCCCTATTCTCCCCTACCCCTCCTCCCCTTCCCTCCCACCCTACAGCACAGCACTAGCCACCAGGCCTCCGCCGCTCTTCCCGTACTGCGAGTGCGAGGGCATGCGGGAGCTCTCCAAGCTGCTTCAGTGCTGCGTCATAACAAGCCACTGCCCCTGCCCCTGCCACTGCCCCTGCCCCTGCCACTGCCCCTGCCCCTGCCCCTGCCCCTGCCCCTGCCCCTGCCCCTGCCCCTGCCCCTGCCCCTGCCCCTGTAGCCACCCTTCCACTCACTAACCAACCACTCCTCACTCTCTTCACCCCCTCTCTCTCACCCTCCCGGTTTTCCTTCTTTTTCTTCCCGGATCCTCCATCCCAACCCCCATCCCAACCCCCATCCCAACCCCCATCCCAACCCCCATCCCAACCCCCATCCCAACCCCCATCCCAACCCCCATCCCAACCCCCATCCCAACCCCCATCCCAACCCCACCGTTAACCCCCCACCACCACTGCAGCACAGCACAAGCTGCCGAGCCTCCACCCCTGTTTCCGTACCGAGAGGGCGAGGGCATGCCGGACCTCTCCAAGCTGCTTCGGCACTCCGACTGCCCCTCCCACTGCCCTCCTGCCTCCTCCGACCTCCCTGCTTCTTCCTCTGCTGCTGCTGGTGGTGCCGCTGCTGGTGACGCTGGTGATGCTGGTGGTGGGAAAGGGGGGGTTGTGGTGGAAGGAGACGGAGGAGGTGACAAGGAGGCGGGCGATGAAGGAGGGAAGAATGACTTTATGGACCATGATGGCCCTGCTGCTGCTGCAACTGATGGTGCTGGTGCTGCTTCTGCTCATGCTTCTGCTGCTGCTGACACCAGTGGCCCTTTGCCTGTAGCAGCAGCAGCAGCAGCAGCAGGGGCGTATCAGCAGCAGCCAGCAGTGGAGATCTCGGTGCCGCCCGAATCTATCACCACTGCCAACCGCCAGGTGCGGTCGCGGCAGCTGTGGGGCACGGACGTGTATACTGACGACTCGGACATTGTCGCAGGTATGTTACATGTAACATACTTATGCTCGGCTGAAGGAAACGAGGAGGGAACATGCATATATTTCTTAGGCAGCTGTGGGGCACGGACATGTATACTGACGACTCGGACATTGTCGCAGGTATGGTACAACACGTACCACTTGTTTATCTGTAACACACCTCCCCCCGTCACTCCCTGTTAATTCTATCTTTGTCCCTCCCTGTTATGAAGCATTCGAGACACATCTCGCCCATTTCTGTGGCTCCACGTGCACTTAATGCCTGGTCCCACCTGCACTGCACCCAATGCCTGGTCAATCAACCGCTCCTCCCCTACCCCTTCCCACCTCTCTACCAACCCTCCTTATTTCTCCTGCTATCTTACAGTGCTGATGCATGTGGGATACATCACGCCCGTCTCAGTGCCCCCACCAGCATCCATAGCTGAGCTCCGAGCAACCATTCGCGTGCTGCCACCTCAGCCCTGTGAGTCATGCCACCTCAGCGCTTTTACCTTGTGCCACCTCGGATTTATGGCTTGCCACGGCAGCCTCTCCTGTTAACCTTGCCTGGCTTGCCACGTCAGTCAGTTTGAAATATATCAAAAATCACCTCATGCTATATATTTTCCAGGGCCCGCTTCCCGTCCCGCCTCGCTCCCAGCCTACCGCCCCTCCTCGCGCACCAGTATGAGGTTACGGGCATGGGGGTCAGTTTTGAGTCGGTCTGAAACTCAGCTTTCCTCTATGTGATCTGTTTCCCTACCACTCTCCCCTTCCTCCCAGCCTACCGCTCCTCCTCGCGCACCAGTATGAGGTTACGGGCATGGGGGTCAGTTTTGAGTCGGTCTGAAACTCAGCTTTCCTCTATGTGATCTGTTTCCCTACCACTCTCCCCTTCCTCCCAGCCTACCGCTCCTCCTCGCGCACCAGTATGAGGTTACAGGCATGGAGGTCAGTTTTGAGTCGACCCTAAACCCTAAACTCACCTCATATGATCCGTTTCTTTGCCCCTTTCCTACCCCTTCATTCAGCCTACCGCTCCTCCTCGCGCAACAGTATGAGGTCGAGGGCATGGGGCTCAGGCAAGGGCACATGCAGCTATGCCGTGGAAAGCTGCAGAATCATCAAGGTACCTCTCGTTTATGAATTATCTTTACAAAGCAGCTCCAGCTACAAATCAACTGAAAGGTTATTTGCAGCAGCATCAACGCATGTGTCTGTAGGCTTTGCACGCACGCGCACATGCGTGACGCCATGAGTCAGTTGACTCCAAAGCCAACTTTCTCAAGTATCAGGGCACCTGTCGCTTGATGAGTCTATTTTTGAGTCGACTCAATAATAGACTAATCACACGCGCACATGCGTGACGCCATGGGTCGGTCAACTCCAAAGCCAACTTGCAAGTATCGAGGCACCTGTCGTTTCGTTTTAGCCTCTGCCCGGGCTCGAGAACAGAAATTGTGCTGTTTGCCTTGCACTTTTGTCCTGGGATGCCAAACCAAGCCAGTCCAAGCCAAGCCAGTCCAAGCAAAGCCAGTCCAAGCCAAGCCAGTCCAAGCCAAGCCAGTCCAAGCCAAGCCAGTCCAAGCCAAGCCAGTCCAAGCCAAGCCAGTCCAAGCCAAGCCAGTCCAAACCAAGCCAGTCCAAACCAAGCCAGTCCAAGCCAAGCCAGTCAATATATGTTGTTATAACTCATGCCATGATGACATGTGGCAGCTTCGAATGTAAATGTTTGAATCGATTGCCCCATCCTCCCGCTCCACCTCTCCCCCCTTCTCCCTCATGGTGCAGCAAGACGGCACCAGCATCGACCTGGAAGCTTCCTCTGCCCGCACGCCCCCAGTGGGGCCCACTCTTGTGCCCGCAGCAGTGGAGCGCACCATGACCACTCGTGCATCTGCCTCCGTGCGGGTACGTGCAATGGGGACTCATGTAGAATGCACTCCTGTGCACTCTTTGACATCACACACCTGGAAGCTTCCTCTGCCCGCGCGCCCCCGGTGGGCCCCACGCTCGTGCCCGCAGCAGTGGAGGGCACCATGACCACCCGCGCCTCCGCCTCCGTGCGGGTACGTGTGAAGGGAAAGCCCTGTTTGGGTACGTGTGAAGGGAAAGCCCTGTTTGTGCATCTTTTTTTTGGTGCCACGACTCACACCACTCGTTCCCAGAACGGTCGAGCGCACCATGACCACCCGCGCCTCCTCCTCCGTGCGGGTACGTGTGACTGATACATTCATGATTCCGTGCGGGTACATGGCGGTGCGTGCATAGTGCATGCATATAGCACCTACAGAGTGCATACCAATTAACTGCTCTTACCTAAATCTGTTATCTTGTGCCCCACTGTTGCTGATCCTCCCCCTCCACCAATCAGAATGCGCACAGGCACCAGCGCTTTGTGCAAGAAGTGACTCTACAGTACAACCTCTGTAACGAGCCCTGGTGAGTCTACACAGTGGGCGACCAGCCCTGGTGAGTGCACTGTCAATCCACATGCCCTAGGAACGCATGTCACATCGCATGGCAAGAGGTCACTCTGCAGTACAACCTCTGCAATGAGCCCTGGTGAGTCAACACAGTCAATCTACATGCCCTAGGGACGCATGGCAGGTTGCATGGGACATAGCATGGCAGATCGCATGGCAAGAAGTGACTCTGCAGTACAACCTCTGCAACGAGCCCTGGTGAGTCACCCTCCCCGCCCTGCCTCGCCCTGCCCGCCCTGCCCTCTCTCCTTTCTCCACCACCCCACCCTGCCCTCTCTCTTTTCCCACCCCAAACCATTTTGTCAGGCTCAAGTATTCCATGGCAATTATTGCCGGGCATGGGCTGAAGCGGCCTCAATACACAGCGCTTCTTTTCCCAGCCCTCCCCGCCCTGCTCTCTCTCTCTCCCCTCCCCCACCCAAACCCACCACCTCGCTCAAGTATTCAATGGCGATAATCGTCGACCACTGGCTGAAGCGGTCTCACCAGTACAACAACACTGAGTTTCTTTCCCCGCCCAACCCACCCTAACTCTCTTTCTCTCCCCCCTCTTTCTCTCCCCACCCAAACCCACCACCAGGCTCAAGTATTCGATGGCGATTATTGCAGATCACGGGCTGAAACGGCCTCAGTTCACCTCAGCACGGCTCAAGCGGGCCGAAGTGCTGTACCTGGAAACAGCCACGCACAGGTTGGTGGGTGGGGCCCACTTTTAGGCACTTTCTGAGCGGTTACAGCTTTAAATGGGCCTTTTGAAATAGGGGCCTCAGTACACGTCAGATTTGAGTTGAGCAATTCTTTGCACTTGGTGGCTCTTTTCGAGTCCGGTTCTCACTTGCCCGTTCCTCCCTCCACACCCTTGCAGGTTTGAGTTGAGCTACGAGCCTGTGTCCGCACGCAAGGTCTTCTACTCTGTAGCGCTTTCGCAAGCCCAGCAGCAGCAGCAGATGCAAGCCCACACTATGCCACTTGATGCTGCTAATGCCAAGGCTGATGGGGCTGCTGCTGCTGCTGGTGATGGTGGTGCTGCTGCGGATGCTGGTGCTGGTGGTGTGGTGAGGGAGGGAGGGGTAGATGCTGGAGGGGACAAAGAGGGGCAAGGTGGGCGAGCGGGAGAGAGGAACGAAAGAGAGAAGGGGGCAGCAGAGGAGGGAGAGGGAGCCGAGGGGTCTGATAAGGGAGCGAAGGAGAAGCAAAGGGAGGGAGGATCGGAGAGCAAAGCAGCAGACGGGGAAGGGAAAGAGCACCCAGAAGCACCAGCTCACCCCCCTTCCAAGGCACATACAAGCAGCGCTGCAGCAGCCAATGCTGCAAACGCTAACTCTCCCAACACAAACAGCACCTCGGCTGCCCCCTCTTCAGCAGCAGCAGGAACAGCAGCAGGGGGCAGCCTGAGTGGCTCGAAACGACCCTTCTCTCTCTTCTCCTCTCCTTCCGGGATCCTAGGCACCAACAACACCAATCCTGAAACGCAGTGGATTCTGCCTCAAAGTGCGTTGGCGCACCTGCATGGGAAGGGCAAGGGGCCGAGAGACACGTACCGGTGGACCCAGTGTGTTCCTCCTCTCCCTCTCGACCAGCTTCGCTCCCACGGCTGCCCTCTCCCTGCTGCCTTCACCAAGGTACGCCCGTAGAGTTCCAGTGGGTTGTTACATTTGAGAATTCTGATGTTACTTTTGAGAATTCTTTTGAGGGCCCTGCCGCCTTCACTAATGTACGCCTTTAGAATCCCAGTGGGTTGTGCCCTTGCTCTTGCTCGTCCCAGACCCCCTTCTTCTGTTTCAGGTCCCCAAGAGTGACTTATGAGTTTTGAGGCGCCTCAAAAGGCATCTGGAGGCTGCTCGGACACTCATCTGCCCGTGCTCTTGCTCTTCCCACACCCCTTCTTCTGTTTCAGATCCTGGAGTCTGGCCTGGCATGGGGCAAGGTGCAGTGGGCGTCTGGAGGGGTGTGTGGGCGCATTGGGGGCTGCTAGGTCACTCATCTGCCCTTGCTCTTGCTCTTCCCACACCCGCTTCTCTTGCTTTTGCTCTTTCCAGGTCCTTGAAAGTGCCCTGGCGTGGGACGAGGTGCAGTGGGCACCTGGGGGGGTGTGGGTGAGGGGGTTGCATTACCCTGTGGTCAGGGCCCACTTCATGCCTCGCAAATCCTTCTCCTCTCGTTAGCTCCTGCTGTCGCTCTTACGAGCATTTTGGTGTAATTGCGATATACACCCTGGGCTGCATTACCCTGATGCCAATAGAGCCCCTTCGTGCTGTGCTGTTAAGGGCAGGTTCCTATACACACCTCTTGCCAGACTGGTGCGGTTGAGTGTGATGAAGTGTGTTTCAGTGCAATGCAATGCGACACGGGGAGTCTGAAAAGGAGGTTCGTCGGAAAGAGTGTTCCAGAGTGCTCACCACTATGCATTACCCTGCATTACCCTGTGTTTACCACCTCATTCTCCTTCCTGAAGGAACACAATCATCCTAGTAACCATTTCAAGCATGCCTGGCATGGATTCAGACTTCACATCACACTCCATCCAAGCAGCTTCTCTCAATGCAGCACTAACATACTGAACCGCTCTAAACAACTTTTTTCCTCAATCCCCAAAGAACACAAACTACTCAAACCAACATTTCAGACCAGCAAAGCAAAGCATCCAATTCAAAGTAGCCCTCTACCACCACCCAACTAGTATTGTACTACTAAGTCCCCACTATCACACCCAACCCAACTATGACTGGCTGGGCTGCACATGGGACGTGCACAGCGAAAGTCCACTACCCAATCTCCAACCCGGGAAGCTTACTACGGTACTCCCATCCCACTCTTCAAGTCAGTCACTCTTCACAAAACATCAGTCGAGCATTGGGCAGCTGGGCTGCAGGTGCAGTGCAGCGCGGCTGTCAGTTCACAACGCTGCAGGAGCGGCGGATCTCGCCCTGCTGGCCCGTGAGCACGCCGAACGCGCCCATGCGAATCATGGAGAGGTGGAAGTGGCGGAAGAATGCCTTCTTGTCCGCCGCGAATTGGTCCACCAGCTCCTTGGTGCGCGGATCGATCGCCAGCACCTGGTCGCTCGTCAGCAGCCCGAACTTGCGCTGAAGATTCTTGAAATACTGCGGCGATGTGAGGAGGATACGATAGGGATGAGTGAGTAGAAATTGCAATTTCAAATATTTAATCCCATGTTGGAACCAAGAAGCAAAAATTATATATATTTCAGCGGAGCGGGTGCATCGACAAAATTGAATTATGTTACGCGGCATGCATTGTCGAGGGAACACGGGTTACCGTTACCTATGTGGGTTTTCTCACGTGGTTGTCGAATCGCGCGGCGCTGTGGATGTCAAGGACCATGGAGATCTTGCTGTCGACATTAGGAGCCTTGCAATGACTCTTGAGAAACTGGCGCATCGGCCTCGCGAGCGTGTCATCGCGGTTGGGCGCGAGGCGGTGCGCGACTTTGTCGCAGCTCGACTCGCCGATGGTGTGCGCGCCGGAGAGCGCCACGAGGTCGCCGAGGGTGAGGTTGACCGCGGCGAAGTTTCGGAGAAGCTCGTTCACGTTCATCTGGTGGCCCGGCAGACGCTTCACCGCAAGAGCTGCCTTCGAGGAACGCGAATCGCGGCGGCCAAGCTGCATCCTCATGTACGGCCCGCCGGCCTGCATCAGCGTGGCGCACATGAGTGTTGAGTAGCGTCACGGTGTATTTCCGTCGATTTTGTGACATTTGTGCGAAGTCAATCGAAAATGTGACATTTTCCGGAATTGAGGGAAAGACAAAGATGTTTTTTTTTTTGTTTCATCATGATCGTGTCCCGGAATAAACATTTCCCGGCTTACCAGATGGACGCCATCGCGCGCGGCAAGAGCGACGATGTCGGAGCAGCTGACAACGCCAGGACACTTGGCCTCGAGTGCCACCTTGATGCGATCGATAATTTCGAATCCGTGGAGCGACAAGTTAGGCTCTGCGTCCTTCTCCGCCTTGTTGCCCGGTGTGGAATTCAGTAGCACCGAGCCATCGCAACCCTGCGGCGCGTGGAAGAGGGACGAAAACCAGGCGAATTATCAGGAATGCGAAATTCTAGGCGAAGTCGGCTTGAATGAAGCGCAGCTTCTCTGGAAGCGAAAACATTGGCGAGCAACGTCGTACCTGAACGAAGCAGTCGTGGAAGTGGAGGCGAAGAAGTGGTGCGGGGGCGAATTGGTCTTTGCGATATTCGTCAGTGACAATTTCGCGAACGATTGTGTGGAGGTGAGGGCACGAGTCTCTGTAATACGACCTGCTCAACCGCTTCGCATCCCCACCGTGGGCAGGCAACAACTGACATGTGGCGGTGACGAGAAGCACCAGAAGCACCGACGACAAAGCACGACCCATTACCGTGACTGGCGTGTGTTCAAGGAGAAGCTACGAGGGATTGGCACGAAAACGACTGGTAATTTTTCAATGTCGCCCAGGTTTTGTACACATTGCGGTGCGGGAATCTGTGACACACGCCCAACTTGACGGCGCAGGTACAGTAATTGTAACAAGACCAGTAGGTTTGTGTGGATGGGTTTGTGCAAGGCCACGCTGGCGCGGCTCGGAAAATTTTGGGCATCTGTGAAAACGAGGGTCTGCTTTGGCAAAAGCCGAGGTTTTGAAGTTCTTCTCTTGAACCATGTTTGCCTGCGCGAAAGAGTTGGCTCACGAAACTCGGTTTTTCGCTCACAAAAATGACTCTTGTAGAAACAACTCGCGAGTGTCAGGTTTGTTTCGCATGTCAAATGTGGACCGTCGCTGATGAAGGATGTAAAGGCACACGTTGATTTTGCTTGCCCGCGGCTAGGCTGTAAGCTATCAAAATATTTCATTTCTTTCGACATCCGAATGCAGATGGAAATGGGCCATATGTACACCGCTTTGGCAAGCACCCTCCGACAACAAGCCCACCTGGAGGCAATATAATGTAAGGGCTAGTGTCCCTGAGCAACCTGGTGACATGCTGAAGCGTTGCCCCCGGCCAAACGAACATCATAGGAAAGAAACAGACGATGAAAAACCCTAGATTTGACGAATTTCTGGTTGTTTACGTGCTGTCAAGCAGAGATGTTCCTCACATTATTCGCTGCACAACAGCTAACTCAATTCCCGTGCATATGGTTATTTCCATATTGTTTTGCATAAAAAGGCTACTTTTCTTGGACGCGTACCGCGTGCGGGAAACCCTAAACACCTGCTTCGAAATCGGGACTGTCACATTCAATCCCACCTGCCTGCGCTCCGCTCCGCCCCGGCGTTTACAGCTGGAAATCACCCTTATGCACGGGAAAATCATGCGAAACCATCACACAAACAAGTACTCACTTTCTTGGTTTTTTGTGTATGGGATGGCTCGATAAGTCCACCTTACTGGTGTTTGTGTGCTGCTCACAACACAATAAAAGTACTCACTCTACCTGCCCGTCATAGCATGCTTCTGGTCACCATCTCATTGGCCAAAGGTTCATGGTTGTTGACAGTGCCAGACTGGTTGAGACCACGGAAGGTTTTATCGCGCGGGGTTTACCCGGGCCAGAACTTGACTGCTCGACGCGCGGTAGGTCCGAGAATGTAAAATCGAGCCGAGAGCGGCCGCAATAGTTTGTGATTATTACAAGCCAACTGTAGATCGATCAGAAATCCAAAGATAATATTTTTTTCCTCAACGTGATGATATTCTGTTTGATAACACTGGATTCCATAGTATTACCACCATAGTAGAGATCCCGAACACACCCATGATAGAACAGTCATTCACAACATGTGTCTCGCCATAGTGTGTCTGAAAAAGAAAGGGAATGGAGAAAGAAAGGGAGAAGGAAAATGAAACTCCCAAAAAGAACCCAAATGCAACACCCATAAAACCCCCCCTCAAGTTACCCAATCAAAACGCCCAGTCAAGACACCCCATCAAGACATCCCATCCCACGCCCCATCCCCCCCCCCCTCAATCACATCAACGTATCGACCATGTACGGGGCCTCCACCTAGAGAGCCCCGCCTTCCACATCGACATCGTCCCTCTCCCGATCCGCCAAATCTACGTTAATCCCCCCCATGGAAGACGCCGCTCGAAGCAGGATGACACGGGCTTGCGCACGTTGTAACGCCACCCCGATGAGCGCCTTCAGTTACCCTAAAAGATAAGCCGAAAAAACAGAGTCGTCCTCTTGACAGGCCCCCCGCGACACAGCTAGCCCCACGTGCGCATCCCCCTGCTGACGAAGCCACCGCTGAAAACGACCGCCGAGACACCCCCACGTCTCAACTATCAAAGGGGTGAACTGCACGCCCCGGTTGCGTGCAAGCAGAGGCGCGTAATCACTCGTTTTGCGACGCTCCCATTCCCTTGTCGCCACACCTATTTGACGCCCGCACTGTCCCAGCAGTGATGGAGACAGCGATAGCGGGTCCGCGACGCTGATCTCTAGGGCATGAGCCTCTCCAGCCATTGGACGTCGCACCGCCACATCAACCCGCTTCCCTTGCAGCACCACACTATCCTCCAATGTCACCAAACCCCCCCCCCCCCGACGCCTTAGAGATCTTCGCCACCGCAAACTTCACCTCATCATGCACCCGAGAAGGACCATGCTGGTGCCTGCATCTCAGGGCATGGTGCGGGTCTGCTGGGTCAACATACGCTGTGCCACAAACACACCTCACCTACCTGCAACTGCTGAATTGGGAGCCCGAGCCGTATAACAGCAGCAATGCCCCACTCAGCCGCAGTGAATGTGAGATCTGAGTGAGCCGGAACCGCCGAAACCCATGCACCTGCCCCCGGGTCCTGAAGGGATGTGAAACGGGCCAAGGTAGCATCGTCACGAGCCAAGCGGCGTAATGCCTGGAGCTCCTCTACAGCTAACTGCCGCTGACGCGCCTGGAAAAGCCGAACAGGAGGGGCCGCTACACACAGAGGTAAGCCCAGTATCTCGTGGCGGATAGTCGTTGGTAGCTGCTCGAGAGCATTAACAAACCACGGGTCAAGAAACTCTGCCCCTGTCGAAGTGGTGAGATACTCAGCAAACATCGCCTCCTCACCCGCCACCCCTAACTGTGCAATGTCCCACGCGGCCTGCGCCCACCCGCAAACATAGGACAGTGGGCTCAAAGAGGCCGCCGCCCGGATCCCGAACCCACCGAGACGCACAGGGAGATGCAGCTGCATGCGTGCGCGCCTAGACCGGTCGGGGTCCTGCTCCCAAGTGCCAGGTGGGAAAAGCTGCTCAAAGCAATCCTCTAAACAGCTGTCCCAATCCCTAAAAGCCTCAACCACCTCCAGACGCGGCGGCATAGTCCGGGCGAGGTACATCGGCCGCGCTGAAACTGCAATGGCAAGGAGGTGTGAAGCCATCTGGGGGTGGTCGAGCAAGGGGAGCCATGGCAGTGGCGCCTGCAACTGTCGAAGCCGCTCCCGTAGCCGGACCACCTCCCAAACCTCCTCTCCAATAGGCACGCCCACCACAGTAAGACCCTCATCCACCCGTTGCATCCCCAATGGCAGTGACCGCTCCACCTCCTTGCCCTCGCGCTCCCAAAACTGGCACTTGTGCGCCTGCACCTCCAGCCCTACCCACTCCAACCACTCCCGCAGCACCCCAAAAGCCTCCAGAATCCTAGCCGCTGGCCCCAAAATATAGGTATCGTCTGCATAGCTGAGGAAAAGCAGGTCCTTGAACTCCCTAGTAACCGGCTCCATCACCTGCTGTTGCGTGAACGCGAAAAGAAAAGGGCCGAGCGGGTCCCCCTGCCTCGATCCCCGTGCTGACTCGAGGCTCTGTACGAAAGGGCCCGCTTGGAGGTACAGGTCGCTGGGTGTCCCATAAAAGACACGCAAGAATGGGATCATCCCTGAGAAAGGCGACTCCCGCAGCCCATCGAATATCACATGACGGTGAAACGAATTGAAGGCGTTTGCGACGTCTATCTGTAGCGCACACCAGTCGGGGTGAGTGGCCAGCGCTGACTGGAAAGAATGAGTGAGAATCTCCGCCCCGTCTTGGTGCACGCTCCCAGCTGGTTGCACGGCAGGAAGTAGGAAACCATCGCAGGGCAGAGCGAGATGCAGAGAGCTCGAGCAAGGATACGAGGAAGCACCTCCCCGATCGCCACCGGTCGGACGTCGCCGTTAGGCTTGGAAAGCCCGACTAGGTTGGATGCGGCGAGCCACGGCCGAGCCCGCTCGGGGACCTGTCCCGCCACCCATTGGTTGAACACTTCCAACAGGTGGGAGAGGCAGGTAGGTTCAGTGAGGAAGGTGTCGCGCAGATGCTCTGTGACCCACCCCGATGGCCCTGCTGCTGAGGCTCGAGCGGCTGTATGGATAGCTCTAGCCAGGATGTTGGTCGTGAGTGAAGGCCGCTGAGCGGTATCGATGGTGAAATCGCGGACCCACTGTGGTACCTCGCCTGCTCTAGCCGGGTGCTTCTCTCGCAGCGACTGCACCATGACCTCAGACGGTCGAGCCAACTCCCCTGCTGTAAGGCAGGCCAATCCTCGGCTCCACTCCCCCACTTTGCACCGAGATCGGCACCGTGACAGGCGGATGGCATCCGGGTCATGGTCAGAGCGAGTGTAGGAAAGTGGGCGAACTGCTGGCCGCGCTGCCGCCATGGCAGAGTCGAACAGCTCCCGCCACCTCCCCTCCCAGAACGCACCCAACCGCTCTGTGATCAGCGCCTTCTGACCTATGCCTGGCTTGGGAGGCATGGCTAGGATGAGGCGCGGAAACGCCAAGAGTAGGAGGGTAGCGGCTTCATCTCCCGGGTGGCTCTTCAAGCGCTTAAGGATGCAACAGAGCGCGTCTAAGACCCCCGACCTGGCCCGCTGTGGGATCCGGCGAACTGTCCTCCCTCCAACCGCCTCCACACTGAAAAATGTTTCCCATTCCCATGACGTAACCCCAGCCCACGCCTCGTCCCCAAATTCCTGCGGCGTCGATCGCTCCTGCGTGTCGGTCTCCACCAGAGACGGAATCGAGCCGAGAGCCTGTGCACGCCTCTCCGCCTCAGCCGCTCGGCATACCCTCATGTGGTTCGCAGCGCCCCCCCGCGTAGCGAAAGTGTGGAAACACGTGTCGCACGGGAAGCGGGGGCATGGGGAAGGCGGCATGGGAGGTTCTTCGTCCGCCTCTGACTCCTCCGCAGTCGCCATGGGGGTATCAAGCTCCAGAAGTCGACACCACTCCTCCAATTGTTGCTCCTGGTCGTCCATCGATCTCCCCCCTGCTTGCTGCGCTCCTTGGGGTGCCCAGGGCACCCTCGGCTACCCCCCTGGCTGCTGCGCTCCCTGGGGTGCCCCGGTCACCCCCGGCTGCCCCCCTGCCTGCTGCTCTCCCTGGGGTGCTCTGGGCACCCTCGACTGCCCTCCTGCCTGCTGCACTCCCTGCCCTCCTGCCTGCTGCACTCCCTGGGGTTCCCCAGGCACCATCGGCTGCCCTCCTGCCAGCTTCACTCCCTGGGGTGCTCCGGTCACCCCCGGCTGCTCCCCTGCCTGCTGCTCGCCATGGGGTGCTCGGGTCACCCCCGGCTGCCCCCCTAGCTGCTGCTCCCCCTGGGGTGCTCCGGTCACCCCCGGCTGCCCCCCAGCCTGCTGCTCTCCCTAGATCGATCAGAAATCCAAAGATAATTCGTTATGGTAACCTTGTGTGTGTGTGTAGATAGATGCGGGAAAAATCACAAGATATTGACACAAAATAACTAGGATTTCCAGTACAGGCCCGACAAATTGACACCTTTATACTGTAGTTGAATTTGTCCTTCCCCGTCACATGAAAAATAATGAAATTCCTCGTATCACTTTGTTGGTTTACAATGCCACTGGTTATTATCACATATTGTATGCATTGGGTCTATTATTGCAGACGGCCTTCATATTTGTAAGAATATACCGTATTCTATGATCTATGGTATCATAATGCCTCAAATGCTGCGATCAGAAATTGATCGTCCCTAGGATCACCTCAGGAAGGTTCTAATACGATTGAGTGGTAGTGGTGGGCCCTTGACCTCATTAGCAAAGGGGATCTAAAATGCTTGAGATGATAGAAACATGGGGTACATTCCCTTATTACAGCGAATTTCAACCGTGCGACTCCAAATGGTTACAAACTGTCTGGCAGAATCCTTGCCACTACTGCTGCCCGATGCTGTTTGCACGACAGTCCGAATTATTTCGTAACCGTGAGTCCCTTCGCATTACTTCTGTCCATTCATCTTCGACCTCGGTAGTGTGTGCTTCGATTGCTGCGGTAAGGAGTGCACAGTGATCCTTTCATCTTTTGCTATTCGTGACACCCCCCTTCACTCCTAGCCGTAGCAGGTCTTGACCCGCTTGACTTCTCCGCTGAGTCAGGAGTTGTGCTGGTACTGTTGACGTGGCAGCTTCTTCGTGAGAAAGTCAGCTGCCATGTTGCCCGTCGGAAAGTAGGTTAGGTCAACCTTGCCCGTGTCAACTTCGTCCTTGACGAAGAAGTACCGCAGCGCGATGTGTTTGGTGCGGTTGACGAATCCACGCATGTCCGCGATCCTGATCGCGCTCTGGTTGTCACAGTGCTGGCGGAAATTCGGCGAGGCTGGGATTTTCGCTGCCTGCAGCAACTCCTGAAGATAGAGGCCTTCGCGAACAGCTGCTGTTGTTGCGATGAACTCGGTCTCCGTCGATGACAGGGCAGCCAGCTCCTACTTTTGTGAATTCTAGGAGATGGGGCCGCTGGGTTCGAGGCAAAAGAGGAAGCCTGTCCAGGACCGTCGATTATCGGGGTCAGCAGCGTGATCGGCATCTACGTAGCCGATGAGGTTGAAGGACACAGTTGGGATGGTGGAGTAGCAGAGCCCAACGTTGGGTGTGGAGATGAAGAACTGTAGTGCTTGCTGAAGATCTAGAAGATTTTCAGCCGTTGGTTTGCGGAAGTACTGAGCCATCTGGCTCGCGACGTACGAGAGATCGGGCCTGCAGGTAACTGAGGCGAAGAGTAGGCATCCCAGCTTCTGCTGGTAAGTCTGAAGCCCAGCGGGGGACAGGGCTTTGTTGTCAGACTTGTGGTTGGGTCCTGGAGTGCGGTAAGGGGTGGAGAGTGGTGCAGGTGCAATGTTGAAGTGCTTGCCAAGTTCCTCTGTATACTTGGCTGCTGAGCGATGAATGGCTTCTGGCGAGTAGGAGATGTTGAGGCCGAGGAACTACTTCACGTCGTGGTTGCATGTGATATCAACGCGCCCTGCAAAGTTCTTCTCGCACAGCTCAAGCCGTTCATTTTTTACTCTGTGTAGAGAAGGTCGTCGAAGTAGACTGTGAGTAGGATGTATTCGCCGCGAAAATCACGGCGATACATCCCTGGATCATGGGGTAGCTGCTTGAACCCAATTTCAAGCAGGATGTTGTGCAGGTATTGCTGCCAGAGCCTTATTTGATCCCATAAATGGATTTCCGCAGCTAGCAGACGCGTGAATCCCCTTCTCCATATGTGTGCGGCTGCTGCACATAGATCACCGTGTCCACTAATGCGTACAGGAATGCATTCTTCACATCGATTTGTCAGAGCAGTAGGTATTGTGCGGCAACGATGGCGAGGAGGATTCTGATAGAGGTGCGACGTCTAACCGGTGCAAAGGTTTGGTCGAAGTTGATACCGTGCCTCTGGTCATACCCGCGTACGACTCGACGTGCCTTGAATCGTTCAGTCGTGCCGTCAGCTGCGGTCTTCATGCGGAAGACCCATTTGCGGGAGAGAATTGTTCTCCTCTTAATTCTGGCTTGATCGACGAGCACCCAGGTATCGCAAGAATCAAGGGCCTTGATTTCCACATCCATTGCCTCACGCCATTCCTTGCTGTGTGGTCCCGTAAGAGCTTGACGCGGATTCTTCGGCTCGATGACACGTGGCGCCATTGAGGTGGCGGTGTGGAGTCCAAGAAGCTGTAGTCCAGACACAGTGCTGTCGTGGCGGTGCTGCGGGGTGACCTCCTGCATGTCATCGTCGTCGCTTTCTGGTTCGGGTGGTACTGGCGGTGCTGCGCCTCTGCCGCTTCCGCCTGCTGCGCCTGCTCCTCCTCCGAAGGAATCGTCATCGTCATTGCTGCTGCGGCGATCGCCTCTTGTGAATTCGCCTCTGGTGTCCTGCTCCTAAATGGCTGTTGCAGCTTTGTCCTCAGGTGTGGCGTAGCTGTGCCCGTCGTTGGCATAAACGCGGTTCGAGTTCACCTGCTCATCTTCGCGAAACTGTTGGAGGAAGAGCCGCTCGTAGAAAATGACGTCGCGCACGTTCGTAGTTTTCTGGCTCATAAGATCTGGCTCACATGCCCACCACTTGTCTCGTGCGTCAGAGGAAAACTGGCGCGGCACACCTTCCCCGACAAGAGCTCGTACGCCGAGGAGGCACTGGCTGTCGTGCACATTGAATTGTGCGAGCCATTTCGGGTGGCTGCCAAGGATGGCAGCTTCGCTCCAACCGGGGAGGGGAGTTCCTCGGAAAGGATTTTACCAGCTTTGTCAATGGGAAGGGCATCGTCCACGACCTGACGTGACCCTACACTCCGGAGCAAAACGGCATGGCTGAGTGGGAGATGCACATGGTTGTCGAGTCCGTGCGGACGATGCTGCTGCAGATGGGCGTGCAGCATCACTGGTGGCACCTCGCTCTTCGACAGGCTGTCTGGGTGTGTAACTACTTGGAGCGTTCGACGACGCCGTACCAGCTGCTGACCAGAGAGAAGCCCGACCTCACGCTGGCGCGGCTGTGGGGCTGCATGGTGCAGTTCATAATTTCCGAGCAGCAGTGCGGTGGGAAGCTGGCGCCGAAGGCTCGCTAGGGGCTTCACTTGGGTGTGTCGCAGAAGAGCAAGGGCTCGGAGGTGCTCGACGTGACCGACAACAAGGTGGTCACGTCGGTCGAGGTGATCTTCTATGAGACGCTGACGCTGGAGGTGTGGAAGGCTAAGTATGGGCCGGCGTCGGGGCAGATGCAGGCATACCCACCGACGGACACCTCGGCGGCGACAGTCCCACTGCTCGCCAAAGTCAACGAGGCTACTGATGAGGACGTTGTGGAGGTTCTTCCACGTCCCCCTGCTCTTGCTCCTCCCTCCCCCGTCGCAAATCAACTTGCGTCGGCCACTGGCGATGAGGGGAGCCTTGAGGCATCGCCTGTGGCGCCGGCTAGTGGCATCGCCGGCAGTCGACAAGGCGTCAATCTCGTTGACCAGGTTCAGAAGCCGTCGACAACAGGGGAGCACCAGACAGGGGAGCCGGTCGAACAGGAGGCAGCAACAGGGGTGCAATCGACAGGGGAGCAGCAGCCGGGGCGGTCGACGGGGGAGCTGTCGAAGTCAGCAGCAGGCGAGCAGCCGGTCGAAGGGTCGAAGCAGCAGGTTGACGACGAGGAAGTCGACGAGGAAGGGGAGCGGTCGGCGGATGAGGAGTCCACTGACAGCGACGTGGTGGAAGTGCCGAGCACGAAGCCTGAGCTGCGTCGCACAGGTCGAGCTCGACGGACGCCGGAGCGGCTGAGCTTCCACGCCTGCCTACCGCCAGCTGCCTTCACCACGGTGTATGACGAGGTCAACGACGACTTGTTGTACGACGACGCCAAGGAGGATGAAGACCTGCCGGAGCTCGACCCCGACGTACATGCCGACCCTGAACACCGCTGGGACATCGCCACGATGACGGTGAAGGAGGCGCTGTCGAGCTGGAAGGGTGAGGCGGTGAGGGCCGCCATGGAAGAAGAGATCCATAGCCTTATCGGTATAGGCACTTGGGAGCTGGTTGAATGCCCACGCGGGGTGAACATCATGAAGAACCGGTGGGTGCTGACAACCAAGTACCGCATCGACGACACTGTTGAGTGCGATAAGGCGAGGCTGGTCGTGAAGGGCTTCACGCAGGTGTACGGTGCCGACTACGACGAGATGTACTCGCCGGTGAGAAGCTACGTCGCTCTGAGGTACTTCTTCAGCATCGTCGCCATCCTCGACCTTAACCTAATGCAGCTCGACATGAAGAAAGATTTCCTGCAGGAGCAAGCTCGACATGGTGCTCTATATTTACCAGCCGGACTACTTTGACGATGGGACCAGCCAGGTGTGTAAGCTGCTGAAGAGCCTCTACGGGCTGAAGCAGTCATCGCTGCTGTGGTACAGGGCTCTTGACGGTGTGCTGCTGGCCGCTGGCTGGAAGAAGAGACAGGTGGACGAGGTGCTCTACTTCAAGGCCGGCGA